CTCTAAGCTGTTTATTCTTGTTAGCATTTCATCAAACCCTTTTTCAAGGTTCTTAGTTTCTTTTCATTAGGTTAGAACATGTTCTTTTAGCTCAGAGACTTTTGTTATTACCCACCTTCTGAAGCTTGTTTCTGTCAATTCATCAGACTCATTCTCCATCCAGCCTTGTTCCTTTGCTGGTGGGGAGTTGTGATCCCTTGGAGGAGGAGAGATGTTTTGGTTTTGGGCATTTTCATCCTTTTTGTGCTGGTTTCTTCCCATCTTTGTGGATTTATCTACTGGTGGTTTCTGTAGTTGGTGATTTTCAGATGGATTCTCTGAGTGGATGTCCTTTTTGTTGATAATGAAGCTAATTCTTTCTGTTTCTTAGCTTTCCTTCTAACAGTTAGGCCCCTCTGCTGTAGGACTGCTGGAGGTCCACTCCAGACCCTGTTTGCCTGGGGATCACCTGCAGTGACTGCAGAACAGTAAGAGTTGCTGCCAGTTTCTTCTTCTGTTATTTTTGTCCCAGAAGGATACCCACGAAATGTCATCCTGAGCTCTCCTTTATGAGGTGTCTCTAAATATGTGGGAGTCTGGGAGTTGCTTGAGGAGACAGTCTGTCCCTTATAGGAGCTTAGGTGCTGAGCTGTGAGCTCCATTGTTCTGTTTAGAATTGCTGGGCAGGTACATTTAAGTCTGCTGCAGCAGAACTCATAACTGTCTTTTTTTCCCAGGTGCTCTGTCCTGGGAAGGTGGGGCTTTATTTATAAGTTCCTGATGTGCTGCTGCCTTTTTTCAGAGATGCCCTGCCCAGTGTGGAGGTAGCCTAGTCACAGTCTGCCAGCAGAGGTGTTGCTGAGCTGCCGTGGGCTCTGCCTAGCTGCTGTGTGAACATCCTTGCAGTTTTGTTTATAGAGGTATAGTTAGAACTGCCTCGGTAATGGTGGTCTGCCACAGTAATGGTGGATTGTCTCTGTAATGGCGGATTGCCTTGGTAATGGCAGACTGCCTTGGTAATGGTGGACTTCCTCAGTAATGGCGGATGCCCTTCCCCACACAGAGCTGGATCAACCCAGGTCCAGCTGTGCTTGCTGTGAAACTCTCATTCCAGAGTGTTTCAGATTGCTGGTCTTTGTGTGGGTGGGACTGGCTGAGCCAGATCACCTGGCTGTCTGTTTCAGCCCCCTTTTTTTCAGTTGAATGGGAAACTCTGTCTCCTAGGTGTTCCAGTTGCCAGTTGAAATGGCACTCGTATTTGTGTGAGGTTTTGTGTGGAAGCCCTCTGTGCTGGCTGAAACAGTAGTGCTGGGGAATTGTGGCACTTTTCTGCCTGGGAATCTCCTGGTCTGTGGGCAGTAAAAATTCATTTGGAAATGCAGTGATTAATCACCCTCTGCATTGTTGCTGGGAACTGCAATCCAGAGCTGTTTCTATTCAGCCCTCTTGGATCTATTCCCAAAAGTTAGTCTTTAAAACAAACTATTATTTCTAACATTTATTACTATTATTCTTTAACAAGAAGGGAAACTTTGAAGTGGAACTTTTTACTTTCTACATTAGGTTTGTACAGTATTTATGTTCTGAAACTTGGGAGTCAAAAATGTATTATTAATCTTATGAGTGAATTCAGTTTTGTTCCAGTTTTCACATTTTGAAATGAATTCTGATGATTCATTTTTTTATTAGTTTTTGTAGCAAATCTCTGCCCTTTGAAATTGTGACTCCTCATTTTTTGTTTTGGTTGGAAAATTGCCTTCTAAATGTACATTATGGTGATAACTAAAATTAATCATGTTTTGAGAAACATTCTTCATGGTAATTAAGACATACAGATGTTTGTCATGCTTTTAGATTTGTTATTTGCTTTACTTTTATCCTGTCATTAAAATTTTCCCAGCTTTTTTTTTTTTTTTAACACGTGGAAGAATCTTAGGTTTATAGCTTAACATATGAAAAGGGTCTTGGTTTACAGTCTCAGGAATTACATATGAAAGGCTCATGCCTGTAATCCTAGCACTTTGGGAGGCCGAGGCAGGTGGATCACGAGGTCAAGAGATTGAGACCATCCTGGTCAACATGGTGAAACCCCATCTCTACTAAAAATACAAAAAATTAGCTGGGCATGGTGGCATGTGCCTGTAATCCCAGCTACTCAGGAGGCTGAGGCAGGAGAATTGCCTGAACCCAGGAGGCAGAGGTTGTGGTGAGCCGAGATTGCGCCGTTGCACTCCAGCCTGGGTAACAAGAGCGAAACTCCATCTCAAAAAAAAAAAAAAAAAAAAAGAAAGAAAAGAAAAGGGTTTTAGTTTACAGTGTTAGGAATGAAAAGGGGAAGTTGATCTGAGATGCCTGGGTCTCCCTCTTCATACCTCCAACTGAGACCCTCACCACTTTATAATATTAGTGAAAGGTCTTACTTTCATTCTCACTTTCCAGATTTTCTGAAGAAACCGACTGATAATGTTTCATACAATACACTTGTGATGTCATTTTTTGGCTAACTACAATAGTAATGAATCCCCTAATCATCTGAAGGAACAGGGGGAGTAGATAAGGGAGCAGTAAACAAACATCTATTATTATTATAACACGTATGATGAGGGTTTTGAATCAAGGATGAGAACCAACCTCCAAATAAGGACTCAGGGTTAAATCCATGCCATGCCTGTACAGGCACATATGTCAGTTTGATTATGTCTCACACAATATCCTCTTGCTTGCCCCGGTCATCAATGTGCAGACGGCAGTTGGTTAGAGTGAATTTTCCCCAGACTCCTCCTTTGGCTGCTAGCAAATAATGTAGGGCCAGTCGGTTCTGATAAATCGCATTTCTTATTTAAGTTTCTTGTCGGGCCAAGAGGGACAGAGCTTTGCCCGTTTCATTAGTGAGTATTTCCAAAACAGCCTGCAACCAGATGATCTGGTTGAGCAGGTAAATAGGGGTCCAGTATCCCCATGAGCCATCCTCAGCCCATGTGGCTGGTCCATAGTACTCAGTAATTCTCTCTGGTGGCCACTTATCTCCATAGTACTCAATAATTATCTCTGGTGGCCACTCATCGTCTGTTCAATCACTCAGTTTTAGGTCTCTCTTCTCCCTAGCATAGTAGAATGGATGCCCTAACAGCTCACCTGTCTTAACAGATAATAGGAAGAAAGAGGGTTTATGACACAGCTACCTGTCCCTCTCACGGATTACACGCCTTATATTAAGTACCATTATATAAACAGGTTCCCTTCTGTGTCCCCGTACATTTATAAGAACTACAGGACAAAACAATGGCGGTAACTTTTATGTCCTACCTGGTGTACGTAGAGTCTTGCTCTGTTGCCCAGGCTGGTGTGCAGTCTGCAACCTCCACCTCCCGGGTTCAGCAATTCTCCTGTCTGCCTTGGCTTCCCAAATTGCTGGGATTACAGGCACCTGCCACCATGCCTGGCTAATATTTGTATTCTTAGTAGAGATGGGGTTTCACGATGTTGCCCAGGCTGGTCTTAAACTCTGACCTCAGGTAATCTGCCTGCCTTGGCCTCCTAAAGCACTGGAATTATAGGCATGAGACACTGTACTTGGCCTCTAGACTTCATTTTCATATTGAGAACAGATATTGCTACCAGTAAGTCTCTATTTTGCCTGAGAAATATCAGACTCTGACTTAAAAATGCAATACTAGTATCCTGTTTTGTCTCTCCTTAAGAATAACCATATTTATATATTTATTTTTAATAGAATTGGGGCCTTTCTTCTTGCTACGTTGCCCAGGCTGGTTTCAAACTCCTGGGATTAAGTGATATTCTTGCCTCAGCCTCCCAAAGTACTGATATTACAGACAAGAGCCACCATGCCTGGCCTTCTTTTCTTTTTAAATTGATGCTTTTATTTTCTGTAAAATTATTTCCTAATTCATTATCTATAAGTATTTCCCTAAAAGAAGGTTATTTTTCTCACCCCCTTTGGACTGTTTAAATTAGTCTCAATAAATATTATGGATGTATTATATGTTGTTAATTGTTCAGGATGGGGTGTTCATACTACCTTCTCTGATTTTCTGTATTTTTGAAAACCAAGATACTAAGAAAATTCATTATATTCTGAAAAAAAATTAATTTGGCAAACAGGAAATATACATGTTTATCAGAGCTTAAGAAAAATTGTCCTAAAGACACAACAGGGTAATTTTATTAGTATACATTATAACACATGTAGAATTCAAATGTCTCATTTAAAAAATTTAATTTAACTCTAAGTTCTGGGATACATGTGTAGGATGTGCAGGTTTGTTACATAGGTAAATGTGTGGCTTTGTGGTTTGCTACACCTGTCAACCCATCACCTAGGTATTAAGCCCTGCATGCATTAGCTATTTATCCTGTAGAATTTTCAAAGTCCTCTCTCTTCCACCCCCGCCCCCACAGACCCCAGTGTGTTGCCCCTCCCTGTGTCCCTGTGTTCTTATTGTGGTGTTTGGTTTTCTGTTCCTGTGTCAGTTTGCCAAGGTTAACGGCATCAGGCTCCATCCATGTTACTCCAAAGGACATGATGTTGTTCCTTTTTATGGTTGCATAGTATTCCATGGGTATATGTACCACAGTTTCTTTATCCAATCTATGATTGATGGGCATTTGGGTTGATTTCATGTTTTTGCTATTGTGAGTAGTGCTACAGTGAACATACTTATGCATGTATCTTTATGATAGAATGATTTCTATTTCTTTGGGCATATACCCAGTAATAGGATTGCTGGGTCAAATGGTATTTCTGGTTCTAAATCTTTGAGGAATTACCACACTGTTTTCCATAATGGTTGAGCTAATTTATATCCCCAACAACAGTGTAAAAGCATTCCTATTTCTCTGCAACCTCACCAGCATCTGTTGTTTCTTGACTTTTTAATGATCACCATTCCGACTGGCATGAGATGGCTTATTATGGTTTTGATTTGCATGAAGTGTCTCATTTTTTATAGCCAGGTAACACTTTATTTAATGTATTTGACATGGTTTTCTCCCTTTTACAGAATGAAACTGTGATTCGGATTGCATATAAAAGTCTCATACAACACTTGGAAGAAAGAAGGATTTTAGCATTAGCACCTTATTTTGAACAGTTGAAATGGAATGATATGATGGAAGAGGTATTAACATTTTTATTTCTTTAAAAAATTTGATAGAATTTGATAAATGAGAATCAAGTTATGATTAGTTCAGTCCTTAGACCAGAATAAATGATGCCATAGATCTCCTTAATACATGTATACTATCTGAATCTCAGAATGTCATGCTCCTATCTTGAATTGATCAGATGGCATATGTAATTTTATGTTCATTTCTGGAAGCCATATTTTAAGACAGACCCTGGAAAACTAGAAATTTGTAGTAATTAATGCAACAGTAATGTTTATTTTTTATTATTCCAATTGAGGAGGACTCTAAGACAACATTTTCCATATAAATAGTCAAAACGAGAAATTAATTATACCCGAAATCTAACTTTCTGATTATCTTATCAAACTATGCTTTATAATCCTATTTATCATGATGGATTACTAAGCACCTCTTTCTTTTTTTTCTTTCTGATTCTCAAATGGTAAAAAGTGGTTGCAGAAGAAAGTTTGGAAAAAAAAGAAAAGTAGTAAGAATATCCATAATTCCACTTAGCATTTTAACATATATATATATTTTTATGTAGCTGAGGACATATTGTGTTTGTGTGTGTATGTTGCATGTGTTTCTTTTTTTTTTGAGACACATATATGTTTTTGTGTTTTTTTTTTTTTTTTTTTTTTTTTTTGAGACAAGGCCTCACTCTCTTGCCTAGTCTGGAGTGCAGTGGCACAATCATGGGTCATTGCAGCCTTGACCTCCCAGGCTCAAGTGATCCCCCCACCTCAGCTTCCTGAGTAGCTGGACCCTCAGGCATGTGCCACCATGCCTGCCTAATATTTTATTTTATGTAGAGATGATGTCTCATTTTATTACCCAGGCTGGTCTTGAACTCCTGGGCTCAAGTGATCCTCTTACCTTGGCCTCCCAAAGTTTTGGGATGACAGCTGTGAGCCACCATGCCCAGACTGTATAGGTATTTTTAATATACATTTCATTAAGATTGTTAAGTATTTTCTTGTCATTAAGAATTTTTCATGAATGTAATGTTTAATGAGCGCATTACATTTTCTTAGTGTTAGACATTTAAATTACTTCAAAATTTTGGCTGTTATAAATAATGTAACAGTGAACATTTTGATGTATAAGATTTTTGTACACATATTGGATTATTATTCTTCCATTCTAAATTCCCAGAAATTCAAAACTGGATCATAAGGTATCAACATATTTAATGATCTTGATGGATGTTGTCAAAGAGCTTTGCAGAAATTCTATCCCTACCTGTACTTTCATCTTTAATCTATAAGATAGTTGACTCACCACACAATTTTCAACGTTGTGTGATATTATTTTAAAAATTTTGATATTTTGACATTTATAACAAAATATCTAATTATTCTAACATGTATTTCTCTGATTTTTAGTAAAGTTGAATGATTTTATTTTTATTAATAATCTGTGTCCTCCTTTGTGAATCATTTGTTCATGTTTTACTAAATTTTAATGTCTTATTATGTTATTTAATTTCTTTACATATTTTGGTTTTCATATTTCTCTGGCATATTGATTGTAATTAATTTCAATTTTTGATCATTAAAATGATCACACATTTTAAAACATAAACTTTTAAAGTTCTGTTTAGTTAAATCTATACAATCTGTTTCTTACAAGTAAGAGCACTTATGAGTAAAAGAATTTTTCTAAATAATTTGGCATTTGAAGAAATTTCCTTTCTTGATAGGCGTGTTGGACTCTATTTCTGCTTCAGCATCTGTGGCCAGAAGGATCGGACATCCGGCGTGTCCTCTGCGTCACCTCATGTTCACTGTCCTTAAGAATGTACCATCGCATCTCAGTAAGTAAAAGGAACACAACTGCCAAGCAGAAAGCTGTCATTCATGAAGTATAACTGGTGTCACTTCACTGGGTAGCATCAGACTCTCCACTGTTGACATACTCTTGGTTTCTGACTGCCATTTTCTTCATTAGGAATTTACCTCCTTCCCCCACCAATTTATGTGTATTAAATACCAAAAAGGAAAGTAAAATTAGAATATATATAGATAAGAAAATGTTATGTTACATAATTTAGTGTTTTTCTTAAAATTCAATGTACAGTACGTTTTCTCTGGTGTTTCACTTACTAGGTATTTAGCCCAGTTCTTCTAATAAACAGAGAAAGTAAGGAAGAAGAAAAGAAACAAATTGGGGGAGGACCCCACTATACCCTGTGTTTCAGGCTCTGTGTTCCTGATACCGTGTAATCTCGCAACAACTTTTCTGTATAGCGATTATCACTCTTTCCTGTGGATTCAAGACTTTGAGACTGAGACTTTCCTAACCTACTTGGAATCACATGGTAACAGGTAGCCTGGATTTTGACTAGGATGGCTGGCTCCACAGCTTGTAGTCATTCTGCTCTGTTAAGTCGTGTATTTAAAAAATAATTCTGTTACAGTTTATTAGTATCACTGAGACTAGAGAGATTCTGAATTTTTAAAATTGTTTTCAGCATATAGGGCTCTTTACGAATCTTTTGAGGAACATGGATTTTCCTCTCTAGTATATGCATTTGCATAAGTACACACACACATGCACACACCCATGCACACGAAGTTTGTATGCAGTCTAAATATCTGTGTGTTTCAGGCTGAAAAATTCTGTTCCTAAAACAAACAGCCATGAAAAAGAGAGAGAGAGAGAAAAAAAGAAAAGAGAAAGAAAAGAAAGAGAAAGAAAGGAAAAATATGCCTGTAGAAGGCCCAAGGAATTAGTATTCTGTAAGATAAAACTGTCCATTTCTTAAATCTGTCAGCATGTTTTCACAAAGTATTTACTTTGCATATGGCAATATGTTATGCCCAAAATAAACATATTTGGGGAGAGAGAAGAAATAGGATATCTACGCCTCTTGATCACACATATCTTGAAAGGCAATTTTAACATCCCTTTGAAATAACTAGAAAAGGTTCAGACTTCTAGTCTCAACTACCAACTCAACATTTCCACTTGGATTTGTCATAGACCTCTCAAATTTAGGATTTCTGGACCCAAACCCCCCAAACTTCTCCATCCCAACAAATGACAACAATGTCCTTTTAGTTGCTAAAAAAAAAAAAAAAAAAAAAAAAAGAAAGAAAAAGAAAAAAAGTGTTAACACTTCAGGAGCATTACGGAGAATAGAGAGAGCGGCGAGCTTTTTGTGCTTCTTCCTTCTTGATTCTTTCCTTAGTTTGAATTTCGCATCTTTGATTTTATTTTGACTGATAAAACATTTATTAATTCCCTCTGCTAAGATTGTTGATTGTCTAACGTGTGCTAGTAGCTGCTTTCAACCTACAGAACTGCAATGTTATGAAGACTATCTAATAATAGGTGTTATTAATAATAGGTAATATAACAGGTATGATAATAGGTAATATTAATAATAATAGGTAACACGCCTTACTATGTATTGGTGACGTTCTAGATATTTTACATGTCTGATCTCACTTAGTTTTTCCAGAAACCCTATGAGAAAGTGTACTGTTACTATCCCGATTTTTTACATATAGGAGAACTGACTCATAGTGTCTTGACTGGAGTCACATGGTTTTCAGAGCCCAGATCCTGAATTATTGTGCAATAGTCTTTTTAATCTAGGAGATACAACACTTCAATATTTATTTATTTGAGACGGAGTTTCGCTCTTGTTACCCAGACTAGAGTGCAATGGTACGATCTCGGCTCACCACAACCTCCGCCTTCTGGGTTCAAGCAATTCTCCTGCCTCAGCCTCCCAAGTAGCTGGGGCTACAGGTGCGCACTACCATGCCCAGCTAATTTTTTGTATTTTTAGTAGAGACGGCGTTTCCTCTTGTTGACCAGGATGGTCTTGATCTCTTGACCTCGTGATCCACACATTTAGGCCTCCCAAAGTGCTGGGATTACAGGCATGAGCCACCATGCCTGGCCAATATTTTAATTTGATATGTCATACAGTAAATCTTAGCTATGTAGATTTCTTTAAAATTGTGACTTTGAATACTTTAATTTTTTTTTTTTTGAGACAGAGTTTTGCTCTTGTTACCCAGGCTGGAGTGCAATGGCGCGATCTCACTCACCGCAACCTCTGCCTCCTGGGTTCAGGCAATTCTTCTGCCTCAGCCTCCTGAGTAGCTGGGATTACGGGCACACACCACCATGCCCAGCTAATTTTTTTTGTAGAGACGGGGTTTCACCATGTTGACCAGGATGGTCTCAATCTCTTGATCTCGTGATCCACCTGCCTCGGCCTCCCAAAGTGCTGGGATTACAGGCATGAGCCACTGCACCCAGCCGAATACTTTAATTTTTGAAGATTCACTCTAAAAAATGAAGAACTTAAAAACTTTATATTCTTTCAGCATGTTGTCAGAATTTTAAGGGCACACTTAATAATTACCTTAACATATTCACTTTTATTGCTATGCTGAAGAATGTACTGTGAGTGGAAGTGTGAATAGCACAGGTCATAGGTTTCTGCATTTAAAAGTTGGTTTCTCAGCCGGGTGCGGTGGTTCACACCTGTAATCCCAGCACTTTAGGAGGCTGAGGCGGGCAGATTATGAGATCAAGAGATCAAGACCGTCCTGGCCAACATGGTGAAACCCTGTCTCTACTAAAGATACAAAAATTAGCTGGGCATGGTGGCATGTGCCTGTAGTCCCAGTTACTCGGGAGGCTGAGGCAGGAGAATTATTGCTTGAACCCGGGAGGCGGAGGTTGCGGTGAGCCAAGGTTGTGCCACTGCACTCCAGCCTGGCACCTGGCGACAAAGTGAGACTTTGTCTTAAAAAAAAAAAAAGTTGGTTTCTCACAAAAGTTCATATTGACTAATTTGCTTCTTTCTTACATGATCTAGAGATGGATAGGGACCACTATCTCATTTGACTCTCCCTCACTCTGTTTGCCTATTGTCTTGGGAAAAATATTTTCATATGACCATGCACAATGTTTTTAGTGGTTCTAATTTTTAAAAATGAACATATTGAACCCAAGTCAATCTCCTTGTAATTTCAGTTACCCCTAATTTTGCTCTATGAAGATACCCAGATTATTTTCTTTACTTTGCATATGATAACCCTTCATATATTTGAAAATAGCTTCAATAGTTTCACCTGCCACAGGAGGTGAAACTGGTCCATTTCCTTCCCTGTTTTCTCATTCAATATGTTTTACAGATAGATTGCCATCCTGGATTTCTCACCCTGAACATGCCATGGGTTTGTGGTTATTACTCTTAACTCTCTGAAATGCCAGAGCATTTTGCATGGGTCTCTGTCAATGCTCAGACTTCTGGATCAGGGACTTCCTTTTCTGTCAACTCATATAAAGTTCGGCTTCACTGAAAATCCTAAGAAATGCATTATGTGAACTGCTAAACTTGGAGTTTTCCCTCCCTCCCTCCTCTCCGCTTCTGTGTCAATGCAGCCAAGTTTGTGTATGCAGAAGGGGACGTTCTCAAAAATGGAAATGTAAGACTTTAATGATGTGTATCTTCGAGGAGTGCCTATTTCAATGCCATTTCACAGTGTGATGTTGTGGCTGTTCTCATCTTCTTTATTGTACACAGGTGCACTGTAATCACCTATCCCTGCAGGAGGTGGAAGATTTCTGCAGACTGCATTGCCTCTGTGTGGCTTTTCAACTCCACTTACCCCTTTCACAGAGAGCTTGTTCTCGAGTCATCACATCCTCTTGGATTAGGGCCAGTGATTCTTTCTTAAAAATGGTAAACATACTTTGTTGATTTTTGTTTCAACGTGAGAAGTGAAAACCATGATCACCTTTGAAACTAGAGTTATACTGGAATATTGCCAGATCTGATTAGCTGATACATCAATTAGGTCTTATTTTCAACAACTTCTATTTTTGGTAATGTAATGAGGAACACCACAATATATCTGTTTATCTGTTTCGTAGAATCATGAGAGCCTTCCTCTTTTTCCTTCCTATCTCTGATGAGATCTTGTTTTTGTATAACCAGCCATAGAAAATTGATTGCCATTGTATTCTCTTTGTAGAGAAACTCAGGAAAATCATTCGTGAATTTATTTTTTCTGTTTATAATAAAAATATATTAAAGGAAAGTTAAAAATTGAAGAAAAATTAATAATATGTACTCCTAACCCACTGCCCAAATTAATGCTGTTAACTGTTAATATTTTGGCTTAATTTCTTTCATTTTTTATTCTAGAGCATAGGTTTTTTAAATGGTTGCAATCATACTATATATACAACATATTATTTTATTGTAAAAGTATTTTCACTTTTGGTTAGCATACTTGTTTTAATTTTTAGTTTTTGTGAGTACATAGGAGGTGTACATATTTATGGAGTACATGAAATGTTTTGACACAGGCATGCAATGCATAATAATCACATCATGGAGAATGGGGTATCCATTCACTCAAGCTGGTTAGCATAATTTTGATGGCTACTAAATATGTATGAATGATTGTATTGTAGTTTACTTAATCGTGCCTCTATAATGGGACATTAGGATCATTTGAAGTTTTTGTATCGTAAATACTATTGGCCTTGAGGGATTCTGGGTTTAAACTTTTCCTGTTATTTATAACTAACTTCTTTGAATATATTTTCTGAAATGGGAAAAGATGATTAGCCAAAAAGGTAGGGAAAATTTGAGGATCTCGATAGATACTGTCAAATTGTTATCAAAGACATTTTAAAACCAATCGATCAGGAAGCCAGTCCAGACATGCTTATTCAGTGCATATCCATTGTAATCGACACCAAGGAAGGAGTGGAGAAAAATACAGACTCATCTCTCTTCTTCTTCCATGGAACTTCAGTTTGCATTAGTGAATAAGCAGTAAAATAATTACAAAGGTGGATATGAAGGAGGAACTAATGAATGCTTTGGAAACTAATTATTAAGAGACACAACCCAGTCTGGAAAGGTTGACCTCTCTGAAGAAGTGAAGAGAAGTGAAATGACTCATGAGCTGAAGGATGAGTAATAGTTAGCTGGGGAAAGGGAAGAGGAAAAGGTTTTCCAGAGAGGACCTAGCACTTGCGAATGCCCCAAGGAGCTGAGATATGTTCAGTGTGCCAGAGAGGAGAAAAGCTGATGAAGCTGAGGAGGGGGTAGAAGAAAATTCAGGATAGTGCTTGTTGTCTCTGTGTTAAGGACTTAGGAAATCATAAGAGTAATGAGAAGTGATTGAAGGGTTTCCAGCTGTAATTGACATTTTAGTTTAAGAGTTCTTTGGCTAAAGTGCATAGAACTCATTGTAGATATCCAAACGTAGTGGTGAGGAAGCCACCCAGTGAACACATAGTGATAATGATAACATGGCTAAAAAGTTGGTGGCAATAGGAATAAGTAGAAGTTGAAGATGTGAGAGTTCTTTAGGCTTTGAAACTGACAAGGTTAAGTAATGAATAGGTTATGAGGCAGAAGGGAGAAGGAAGAGTCCAAGATGACTTTCAGGTTTCTGGTTAGGCCAACTGTGTGGATGCTGCCACTGAAGAAGAACATTTTGGGTAGGAAAATAATGAATTTGGGAAATACTGAGTTTCAGGCGGTGGCAATGACACTTCCAAAGGAAGTATGTAGAAGGCAGTTTAAATATTCTTTGGATTGGAAATAAAAATCTGGGACTCATTAGCCCATGAATGCTTCTGAACACCATGCCAGTTATGTGTTTTTCTAGGAAAAATGAGAGGACATTTGGTTCAGAGTCCAGAAATATTCCAGAATTCATTGGTCAGGTAGAAGTTTAAGAATTAGAAAAAGACATTGAAAAAGACTGGTGAAGATATATGGGAGAAAATCTAGGAAAATATGTTATTTCAAAAAGAAGGGAGTGGTTTATAGTGTCACATTCTACAGATAATGTGAGGATGTTGACAGAAAATTCAGTGGCTTTAATTTAATGGCATGAAAGTCAAGACCAATTATAATTATTGTTTTGAGACAAGGTCTTGCTCTGTTGTCCAGGCTGGAGTGCTGTGGTGTGACCATAGCTCCCTGCAGCCTCAACTTCCCAGGCTCAAGTGATCCTCCCACCTCAACCTCCCTAATTGCTGGGACTATAGGCATGCCTAGCTAATTTTATTCTGGCCATGTTGCCCAGGCTGGTCTTGAATGCCTGGGTGCAAATAATCCCCCCAACACTTTGGCCTCCCATGATACCTAGCCAAAGCTAATTATTATTAACAGCTGTTTTAGTAGAGTGGTGGGGTACAAAATCTATGGAGTATTCAACAGTAATGAGTGGATGGTTATAAAATAAAGGTAGTGGAGGCAACTCTTTACTTGGAGTTGGTCTTAGCGGATCTGTAATTTTTTTTTTTTTAAGGGAGACCAGAGTTTTATTATTACTCAAATCAGTCTCCCAGAGTGTTTGGAGAACAGATATTTTAAGGACAACTTGGTAGGTGGGGGAAGTCAGTGAGCCGAGAGTGCTGATTGGTCAGGTCAGAGATGAAATCCTAGGGAGTTGAATCTGTCTTCTTGCCCTAAGTCAGTTCTTGAATGGGGGTCACAAGATCAGATGAACCAGTTTATAGATCTGGGTGGTGTCAGCTGATCCATCAAGTTCAGCGTCTGCAAAATATCTCAAGCACTGGCTTAGGTTTTACAATAGTGATTTTATCCCCAAGAAGCAGTACGGAGGGACAGAATCTTGTAGCCTCCAGCTGCATGACCCTTCAACCATAATTTCTAATCTTTTGACTAATTTGTTTGTCCTGCAAAGGCAGTCTAGGCCCCAAGAATGAAGAGGGTTTGTTTTGAGAAAGGGCTGTTATCATCTTTGTTTCAAACTATAAACTATAAACTAAGTTCATTCCAAAGTTAGTTCAGTCTACACCCAGGAATGAACAAGGACAGCTTGGAGGTTAGAAGCAAGATGGAGTTAGTCAGGTCAGATCTCTTTCACCGTGTCAGTTATAATTTTGCAATGGTGGTTTCAATCCCTCCTTTTAACACTTTAATATGAAGTTATTGGCTAAAGAAGGCGGAAAAAGGGCAAAGCCTGCTCAAACTTCTTCCTGCTCACCAGGGGCATAGTGGGGGTAAGCGTTGACCCCAAAGTAAGAGGAGTGGAACCACTTTTCAACTGTCTGAATGTACTCATGCAGGTCTGGCTGGGATTCCAGGACCTGCATGACAAAGGTGTTAGTATTAGTACCACGTTAAGGGAACAGTGTAATACAAGGTAAATAATGAGTACTAGGATAAGCAGTGAAATTCCCAGTTTTAAAAGTAAAGACTGGAAAGCATTAGTTTGGGGACTTGTAGACCGCCATCTGTAATCTTCATGGTTGTAATGACTTTATCACTCCACTCAGAAATGTCTCTTGTGACCTACCTTACATGGGGTTAACCATGAGTACGAAATTATTCCATGACTCCCTGCTAATAATGTTTTCCTCTTTAATTTTCAGAACAAGTGGTGTGAACATTTCATTTTAGGCAACTTAAACATTTTGGGATCCTGGAATCTGGATTTAAATCATGTTTCTGACTTACATGATGAGCAATTGTTAAAGAATATTGCCTTTCACTATGAATTTGAAAGTACTCAAGGTAATACCTTAATATGTATTAACATTATGTCATAAACAAATTATATAAAACCCTTATAAATTTTCCAGTACATACCACAGCAACATTTTGTTTCTTGAAAACATTTGTTTGTATGTGTATATACTTTTCACATATTTTATTTTTTTTCACTTAATAGCATTTGAAAATGAGTTTAAGCTACGACATATTAGTAATTAATAGTTATATTTTTTATTTAAATGGTAGATTAATGATATTCTATAACTTACTGTAATTAGTGTAATCTTTTCATTATTTTTGAACACTTAAGGATGTTTTGCATTTATCCTAAAATTAAATGAAACTGCATTTTGGTAAGTACATAATTTTTGTCCTTCTTTGAATTTTTTTAGGGTAACTTATCTAGAGTGACTTACATTGTAGAGAATAATAAGATGTTTCAAAACATGTTTTTCCCAAGTGAATATTACTGAAGTTTCTTGACCTCTGGCATTTAATTCTCTTAGATGACAAACATTTGAATAAGCTGACTGAGTAAAATGTAGCAAATTTTACTAGTTGTGACAAAATTCTCACCCTTTTCATACTCTGTAAACTCTTTAAAAACTTGTTTTTAAATTAGTTTTTAAAGTTGCAAGCTTATATGTAGCATGTTGTTCTTCATTATTTTATGGAATAATTATGTATTTATCATTAGCATTATTTAAGAAGGACTATGATTAAAACGGGGATATTCCTTTGTTTATTTTTTTGGGGGGTGGGGAGGGCATCTTGGTACGTTGCCCAAATGGTCTTGAACTCTTGGGCTCAAGCGATCCTCACACCTCAGCCTCCCTAGTAGCTGGAACTACAGGCCCATGTCACAGTGCCTGGCTCTTTATTAAATTTAAAGAGAAAATGATTTCTAGAAACTACTATCATAGTGTCATGACGAGTTTTCATGCACGTCTACTGTGTTACTCACTTGAATTTTCAATATTCGATAATCTTCCCAGAGCTCTATGGATTTATTCACAAAAGGTGCTGTGTGTGTGTCTGCATGTGTATGAATTTTAAGATTTTAATATTTTTTATTGTTATACAGAACCACATTTGAATTTGGGAGATTCCATTAGGAGGGATTATGAACACCTGTGGAATTTTGTGTCACAGCTGGTTAAAGAATTCGATGTTGGAAAGTCTTTTCCTGTGAGAACAAGAACACAACATTTTCTTACACAAAAAGAATCAGTCATTCAAGGTACTAAATGGCTACATTAAAGTGGAACCAAAGCACATTTATCCTTAACAACTTTTAGAAGTCTTAATAATTTAATTCTTCCAAGTATAAATAATTTGCCTTCACTGTGCTTTCTTATTTACTTCTTAATCAAGGTATAAAATACATATGATAACATGGTTAAAGTAAACCAGTGTGTAGAGCCTGGAGAAATTTTACACAGATCTATACATCTGTGTGATAATCACCCAGATCAAGACAGAGGACATTTCCAGCACCTCAGAAGAAAGTCCTGTTGCCACTTCCCAATCCATCCTTCCTCTCCTTTCATCTCTTTAACAGACTTCAATATGATGTTTTAGTTTTTTCTGCTTTGAACTTCATTGGAATGGAATCATATAGTATATATTCTTTCTATTTTTATTCCCTCTCAGTATAATGTCCGAGCCATTCCTGCCTGTTGTATGTACCATTATGCTTAAAAGTTTTTGCTGTGAACGGTCTCTTTGAATATACACTCTGTCCATTTGGATCATTTCCTAGCTATTGGCTATTGAATTGTTGAATAAGCAGTAAAATGGCTGGTTTGGAAACTAATGATTAAGAGATACAGCCCAGTCTGGAAAGGTTGACCTCTTTGAAGAAGTGAAGTGAAATGACTGATGAGCTGAAGGATGAGTAATGGTTAGCTGGGGGAAGGGAAGAGGAAAAGGTTTTCCAGAGAGGACATATAGCACTTGAATGTCCCAAGGAGCAGAGGTATGTTCAGTGTGTCCAGAGAGGAGAAAAGCTGATGAAGCTGAGGAGGTGTACTTGTTGGGTCTTAAGGCCATAGGAAATCATAAGAGTAATGAGAAGTGATTGAAGGATAAAACTGTTATGAATATTTTTACATATAACTTTAGGTAGATATATGCATTTATTCACTTCAAGTATATACATAGAAATGCAGCTTTATTAATTTCTGTCCAAATATTTTATAAGTTAGTTATAGTTCCAAGTTAAACTTATACCTTCCATATGGGCATTTTAGAATTTTGGAATTGCTTCCCAGCCTTGTCAATCTTTTTTTAATTTTTAATTTTTATGAGATAGAGTCTCACTCTTGCCCAGGTTGGAGTGTGGGAGGTACCAACATAGCTCACTGTATCCTTGAACTCCTGGCCTCAAGCAAACTTTCCACCTTGGCCTCCCAAACTGCTGGGATTACAGGTGTATGCCATCCTGCCAAGTCTATTGTTAGCCTTTTTTATTTTGGCCATTCTAATAGGGGTGTGGGGGTAGCTGATTGTGATTTCAATTTGCATTTCCTTGGACTTTTTATCTGTTATTGGCCATTTGAATATCCTCTTGTGAAATGCCTGCTCAGGTCTTTTGCTCATTTATAAAATATAGGTCATGAGTATTTCACACGTCTATGATTGATCTTGAATTTACTTTTGTATGGTGTGAGAGAGGGATTATTTCTTCACTGTCTATTTTCTTTCATTAGTTTATCCTTGAGCCTTGTTTATCCTTGAACCAATATTAAAATTAATTATGGTCATTCTATAAGAAACTGGTTTTGGTAGTATATATGCTCCAACTTTGTTCTTTTGAAGATTGTTTAGTTTATTCTGACTCCTTTGCATTTTCATTTAAATTTTATAATTGGCTGTTGACATGTTGATTACTGTTGCATTGAATTGAAGACCCATTTGGGAAGTATATCAGTCAGGTTTCTACCAGATAAAAGAGAACTAGTAGGATACATGTATTAAGAGATTTATTGCAGGGAATTGCCTTACATGATTATAGGGACTGGCTAAGCAAGTCTTAAGGAAGACTATAGGGCAGGTCTTAAGGAAGGGGAGGCTGGAATTCTGGGGCATGAGCTGAAGCTGCAGTCCACAGGTAGAATTTATTCTGTTTCAGGGAAACCTCAGTTCTGCACTTAGTGACTTGGAGATGATTGGATAGCCTCATCTAGATTATTTAGGATAGTCTTCTTTACTTAAAGCAAATAAATCCTAGCCTTTAAGCCCATCTACAAATACCTTTCCAACAACATCCAGATTCCTGTTTGATTGGTTAGGGAACTGTAGTCTAATGAAGTTGACACCTAAAACTGACCATTTCGGTCTCCCTCTTGTCATCTGAACACCCATATACATATCCTTATACCATACCTAATCTTCCAATAAAGACACTCACAAAATCACGCTTGTGCTTAACATGATACAACTATCCTGTGTACAACCAAAAACATGTTAACTCTTCCTTCAAAACACAATGCTAAGTTCTTGGGTGATTTTCACTCTTCTGCTTGGATATCCTGTAACCTAAATACTGTGACACAAAGCACGTTATTATGACTACATTGTATGTAAACTGATAAAAGAAGAAAACAAAAATATCTGCTTAATATATATATGTATTCAACACAAAATAAGGAAGAAATACTCCTAACTATTCCAGTCCTCATTTCTGCAGCTGATCACATGGTCATAGCTGGTATTTATGGCTGTCTCCTCTTCCTTTGACCTATTCCCTACTCCATTTGCACTCAGCAAGCCCCTCAGATGGTCATGGTTCTTTGCCTGAGGTACACCTTTTCCATGGCTGTCACAAGGCACCACAAGCTGGTAGCTTACAGCAACAGAAGTTTATTCTCTTTTTAAAATTTTATTTATTTATTTATTTTTTGAGATAGATAGATTCTCACGCCGTCACTAAAGCTGGAGTGCACTGGTGTGATCTCGGCTCGCTGCAACCTCTGCCTCCTGGGTTCAAGCAATTCTCCTGCCTCAGCCTCCCAAGTATCTGGAATTATGGGGCATACTGCCATGCCTGGCTAATTTTTTGTATTTTTTTTTTTGAGACGGAGTTTCGCTCTTGTTACCCAGGCTGGAGTGCAATGGTGCGATCTTGGCTCACCGCAACCTCTGCCTCCTGGGTTCAGGCAATTCTACTGCTTCAGTATCCTGAGTAGCTGGGATTACAGGCATGCACCACCATGCCCAGCTAATTTTTTGTGTTTTTAGTAGAGGTGGGGTTTCATCATGTTCCCCAGGTTGGTCTTGAACTCCTGAGGTCAGGCAATCCACCCACCTTGGTCTCCCAAAGTGCTAGAATTAGAGGCGTAAGCCACTGTGTCTGCCCAGAGGTTTATTCTCTCACAGGTCTGGAGGTTAATGTCTGAAATCAAAATTGGTTTCTTCTGGAGGCTCTGAATTAAAAACTATGCTGTTAATGGAAAAACCAAACTTTGTAAAATATTTTAAAGAGGTTTATTTTGAGCTAATATTGGTGACTATAGCCTAGGGAAAAGACAATCCCAAGAAGCCTTGAGGAAGTGGCCCTGAGGTGGTTGGATTACAGTTTGGTTTTATACATTTCAGGGAGGCAGGAGTTACAGGAAAGACATAAATCAATACAGGGGAGGTATACACTGGCCCCCAAAGGCAGGATATCTTGAAGCAGGGGTTTATAGATTATAGATAGATTTGGAGATGCTTTCATTTGCAATTGGTTAAAGGAACAAAGCTTGGTCTAAAAACCTGGGGCCAGGTGCGGTGGCTCACGCCTGTGATCCCAGCACTTTGGGAGGATAAGGCAGGTGGATCATGAGGTCAAGAGATCGAGACCATCCTGGCTAATGGTGAAACCCCGACTTTACTAAAAATACAAAAAATTAGCCGGGCGTAGTGGCAGGTGCCTGTAGTTCCAGCTACTCGGGAGGCTGAGGCAGGAGAATCAGTTGAAACTTGAACCCCGGAGGCAGTGAGACGAGATTGTGCCACTGCCCATGTTCAAGTCCTAATTCCCACTACCTGTGAATGTGACCTTACTTTGAAATAGGGTCTTTGCAGATGAAATCAAGTTAAGATAAGGTTATTCCAGTTAGGGTGAGGCCTAATATAATGACTGCTATTCTGATAAGAACAGAGGAACTTGAAGGCAGACCCAGAGGATAAGGGTTCTGTAAGTCCAAGGATGGTGGTTTTGGCAGAAGCACTGCATGCAGGGAAGGTCACTAGATCCAGAGGGAAGCCATCTAGTATAATCTACCTGCAATCATGTCAGCCTGGACATGTTGTAGAGCCTTCTCTTGTTCTTGGCTCCAATAAAAACTAGCAGCTTTTCAGGTCAGTTGATAAATAAGCCAGAATAACACACCTAAGTGAGAAATACGTTGCCTTCCAAATTCACGAAGGCCCCCCAGGCATTATAATTTATTATAGGAGGGTTCAGATGCAACAACCACCCTTTGCCTCAGAAAGGGCATCTTGATATGCCCCACACCATTGGACTCCTACACAATTTGCAGAGGTGGAACATCCTTGAAATTCCATTCCATTCATTTTCCACCATCAACAAATTTTGCTCAGATGCAAAGTCTCTGAATTTTTCCTGAATTTATTTCCCATTTTTGACATACAAATGTCTTATTAGTATGGAAAGTAGGGTCTACTCCTTCTTCTTCATTTTTTTTTTTGAGATGAAGTTTCGCTCGTTACCCAGGCTGGAGTGCAATGGCACGATCTCGGCTCACCACAACCTCTGCCTCCTGGGTTCAGGCAATTCTCTTGCCTCAGCCCCCTGAGCAGCTGGTACTACAGGCATGTGCCACCATGCCCAGCTAATTTTTTGTATTTTTAGTAGAGACAGGGTTTCACCATGTTGACCAGGATGGTCTCGATCTGTTGACCTCGTGATCCACCCAGCCTCCCAAAGTGCTGGGATTACAGGCGTGAGCCACCGCGCCCAGCCCAGGTCTACTTCTTATTCAGTAGATCCGAGCAGTATAATATCAACTATGTGATGGACCAGTGAGATGCTTTGTAGAAGAATAATTTTCTTCTATAAAAATCCCCTGGGGTCTAAATCATGACATTGTGCTTGAGTAGGACAGTGAAGGTATATTTTCTTGCCTTCCTAGCTGAAAGAAAACTGTTGCTGGTGGTCTTTATTAACAGGTAGAGAAAAAAGCATTTGCCAGCTCAGGAGCTGCATACCTGGTACCAGGAGTTGTATCATTTCATTCAAACAATAAAACTATCTCTGGAACAGCAGCTGCAGCTGGAGTCAGCACAGGGCTAAATCTACGGGAACCTACTGGCAATCTCCAGAATCCATCTGTCTTTCTGCATGGGCCAAATAGTCAGGTTGAATGTGGGTGTGAGGAAAATCACCACTCCTGTACTTTTCAAGTCCTTAACAGTGGCATTAATCTCTGCAAACCCTCCAGGCATGCAGTATTACTTTTGGCTTATGATTTTTCTAAGTATAGGTAGTTCTAGTGGCTTCTATAAGCCCTAGTTCCACAGCTAAGGGGACCAACTTGGGGATTTGTCTAGTTGCTAAATACATTTGTTCCAGTTACGCATTCTGAAACTGGTGAAATAACCACACAATAGATTCAGGGACCCACTGTGAGATGAACTTGAGAGAAGACTTTATCAGTCACCTGACCTCCACAAGCCCTTACTGACTGGGGGTGGGGGCTTGGGGGCACAGTGACATTCTGGGTCTCCTGGAATTGGTGCTAGTTCAGAACCAATATCCAGTAATCCCCTGAAAAGTTGGATGGTTTCCCTTTCTCCAGTGGACAGTTGCCCTGATAAATGGCAGTCGGTCTGTTGTAGGAAGACTGGAGAAAGACCTGCAGTATGAGTTTTGGCAGTGTCGCAGGGTCCTTCTTAAAGGGGCTCTGCCTCCCCTTCAATCAAGGGGTTCTGGGTCTGTAACAGTTTAGGAACTGTTTAAGGAGCCTCGACTTTGGTGATTTAAGTTAGGCATTTGTGCACATACCCTAGAACTCTTCTGCTTATACAAATCAATTTAGAATTTAGTGGAATGCCAAGCAATTGATTTTTTTTCCAGGAACACTATGACCAGCTAGCCAATGCTTTAGGTTTCTGTGAATCAGACTATTCCGATTACCGCTTTGGCTTTGCCGTCCATTATGGTAACCATGACTACCTAATCTTTAGTGATTCAGTGCTGCCACTTGGCCCCTGCCACCCCAGGATGGAATTATCCTTATTGCATTTAGGGATCCCAGTTTGCTGGTAGCAGTTTTCACTGCAATTCTGACTTACACAGTAGAGTAGCTATGGAGCTATTCTGGAATTCTGGGGTTCCCCTTACAATTTTATTTCTCATAGTGTGGTGGAAGGTGTGTTCTCTGCACCCTCATGGGTTGAATGAGCAGATCTTACATGATGAATCTGTTCTAACCTTCCAATTTCTCTAAGCCTTTGGATACCTTAGGTCAATCACCTGTCCAATTGGGAGTTTCAGAAGCAGAGGACAGAGTCCTCAGAGGAAGAAATATCCATAGATAATGACTGAAAATAAATTGTTCTGATTTAATGAAAGATACAAATACCTGCAGTTAGGATGCAGAAATGAATTCCACATAGGACATACACATATACACACTCATGCATTTATGCACACACAATACACACACACACACACCCCATTAGACACATTATAATGCAACTGCAGCATACCACAAACAATGTTTTCCTAAGAATTAGAGAGAAAACAGTTACCTACAAAGAAATAAAAGTTAAATTGCTGGCAGACTTCTCAACAATAACAACAAAATAATGGTTGTTGGGGGATAGTGTAAACAGCATAAGTACGACTTATGAATGAGGAAATAATATAGATGTTTTCAGATACACAAGAACTGAGTTAGCTAGCATTATATCTTCATCAAAAATATTTGTATATGATACAATACAGGGAGAAGGAAATGGTCCCAAAGGAGAGTGAACAATAAGAGGAATGCAAATGGGAATTGTGGATACACTGGCAGAAGGTTATTGCCTAGAATTTAGGAGTGAAGGAGGAGAAAGATTGTATTTTTTCCTCTGCAGTTAGGAACAAAGCTAAATTTAAAAACCCTCTAGTCTATTATATTCAGCATGTAAGCCATATATAGGAACTATGAAAATAAAAATTCAGCAGGGCTCCAAAGAGTATTTGGTGATAAATAAAATACTTTTATTATTAATTTTTTTCTATTTTTTTGTCATTTAACTTTTCATGGAGGCTTTTATGTAGGTGAACTCCGAGTGGTGCTTCTTTTTTCAAGTGCTGTTATTACTATACTGTGACATATTGTGAAATAATAAAAAATATGTATTTGGAAATGGAAACCTACATGTTTGTCTATCTAGTGATCTGCAGCCATCTATGTACATAAATGGCTGTATACTAATTTTCAATATACTGGCTTGCTACAACATGTTTGGTTTGAGGAATATCTCATTTGGAAGCTCTAACTTGGTAAACATAAAATTTAGGAAAAATATTATGTACTTGAAATTTTAAAAAGAATGTTCAAAATTCATATAGTATAGTTACACCTTTCCTCTCATCTGAATTTTGTATTTGTTTTCAGAAATCTCCTTGGAAAAGTTGCCTAGTGTGGGTTTTATTCCGATGACATCTGCTGTAATTGATGAGTTTGTTGGAGACATGGTGAAGGATTTGCCTATTCTAAAGAGGTACAGAATTAACGAAGTACCTAATTTAGTGCTATTGACTCTAAAATACTTGTGTAATGAATGACTCATCAAAATGTCTATGTAACATATCATATTGGGGTATGGTAAATTCTATATAATAATGTTACTGCAATACATTTAAGTAATTGTAACATCTAATATGTCAATATGATTTGAACATTACTATATAAAAATCTTTATTATTTTAAGCTTACAATAAAATTACTCCAGCTATAAAGTTTACTAAATAGTTGTTGATGAGGATGTGACTGTTACAGGAATGGTAGAAATTCAGGGTTTTTCTGTCTCTGAAGTTTTATGACCCATATTATATCACAAAAATAGAAACAGAGGTTTTACAGTTTCTATGTTATCATAACCTGAAGTTTGCACTAAAATTTGAAATGCCTAACGTTACAAAAATGTTTATTATTTTTACAGTGATGACCCAGTTGTTCCTTCACTGTTTCCACAAAAGTCATCTGATGAGCTTTTGCACTGGCATGGCCAAAGACTCCTTAGTGATGACTATGACAGGATCAAGTGTCGCATTGATGGTGAGCTCTGTAACCACGAACAAATAGAGCTTATATGCATTGCCTTTGCTGCTCCTTTTCTGAACAGTGAAAAGACATTACATTATAAACATATTATATTTTGAATGAGATCAGTATGTGTGTGTATATATGTGTGTATATATATATACACACACACACACACACACACACACACACTGAGATCAGTATATATATATATATATATATATATATATATATATATATAAAATAAAATTGAAGAGGCACTATAGGAAGCATGCTGTCTGAAAAAAAAATCCCATTACATTGTCTGGTGTGCACGTGTAGGTATGCACACAGATGTAGCTGTTAATTCAAATAGAGATTTATTAATCTTTTAAGGACGTACACATGCATGGTATTGTCATGAAAATAGCAGATGCTGTTTAAGTGAGAAAGATAGTTGATGGTTTTAGGAGTCTGTCTATACCTTGAAGTAAATATGCTGATAACAGCCATAGTCTTCCTAAAATTGTAGCTCTTTTTAGCTAAATTGTTACCTAGTTGATAGCATGGTGCTAAGTACCAGCATAATTGTGTCTATGAAAACTCAGTAATGAGGAAGGGCTGAATCTGCAAAATGTAAAGCCCATGAAACAATTAAAAATGGGTCCTAAGGAAAGGAATTCATAGATATTTTCCTCCTGGTTCATTCTTTTAGTGTCTTTCTCCAATCCCATGTTCATTTCTACCCTCTCAGAACTAGTAAAACTTTTCAGAAATATCTAGAAATAAGTCAAGTAAGCATGCCAACTGCATATAGGAAGAAGCCTGGTTATGTAAGTGTCTACTAGGATTCTGCATGGTGTGCTTCCAGAGTGGTTTGGTTTGTGATCACATACATAGACACGGAGAACAACAGCAACATCCAAACCAACAAAATACCAACTTATTCATATCTTTTATGTTTGTAAAGAGTGTTCCATAGATTTCAAGTGAGTCTAACTTTGCTTCCTGGAATTTTCTGTGTCATTGAAATTTTTGCATGGTGTGAGATAATTGGTATCAGCATCTGTCAGCTGTAAGCTCCTGAATATTTGAAACCTCTACCAGAAGTAGAGGTTTACCTTTTTAGGAATACAAACAATATTTTAGGTCTGGGGTCAACAAACTTTTTCTGGAAGGTTTAAGTAATAAATATTTTAGACTTTACAAACCAAGAGGCAAAAATTGAGATCATGATGTAGGTACTGATATAATGATTTAGAGTGTAACTAATTTAAAAAAATGTACTGATCAGATTGGACCACGTGGACCTAGTTTGTAGACCCCTGTTCTAGGTGAATGTGCTATTAGACTGCCTCCAGCCTGCCTCTTCTCCTCTTCTGCCAAATGACAGAGACAATGTCCAGGTACTTGGAGAGGAACATCAGCGGAGCTATTTGTCTTCTCTCTTCTTCAAATAATACAGGGAATTATTTTGTCAGCATATGATAGTCTGACCTAATTGGCAAAGACTGAATTATTATTCTGGAGTTAAAAAAAATAATGCATGAGTAGCACACATATATAGCAATATTTTAAAATACATATTTACATTTTAAGTCTTTCTATTTCAGAGAAATCTAGAGATCCTCATGTTCTTGGTTTCCTGAAAAAGTATCAGGCTTATCAGCAGTTTTATGGAAAATCACTAGAAGCAGTCTCTACAAAAGTCATTTCGATTCAAACTACTCAGCAAAAGGATTCCGGTGGTGCCAGTGGTGAAATATTGCAGGTAGATCTTATAGATTTTACCTCATCTTTTTCATTGATGTTGTTTTGCTTTCTTTAGGCTCATATTTGTCTTTGGAAGTGTCTTTCATGTTCCTCCTTCTAATGTTTGCTAACTATATTACTCCTTTCTCACATTGCTAAAAAGATATACCTGAAACTGGATAATTTATATAGAAAAAACGTTTAGTCGGCTCACAGTTCTGCAGGTTGTACAAGAAGCATGGTGACATCAGCTTCTGGGCCTCAGAGGACTTCTTTTTATTTTCCTTTCCTTTTTTTTTTTTTTTTTTTTGAGATGGAGTGTCTCCCTGTCACTCAGGCTGGAGTGTAGTGGTGCGATCTTGGCTCACTACAACCTCCACCTCCCTGGTCCAAGGGATTTCTCCTGCCTCAGCCCCCAAAGTAGCTGGGATTATAGGTACCCACCACAATACCCAGATAATTTTTGGTATTTTAGAAGAAATGGGGTTTCATCCTCTTGGCCAGGCTGGTTTCAAACTTCTGACCTTAGGTGATCCACCTGCCTCGGCCTCCCAAAGTGCTGGGATGACAGGTGTGAACCACCATGTCCGGCCTTCAGGGAATGTATAATCATGACAGAAGACAAAGCAGGGCCAGCGCCTCACATGATGGGAGTAGGAGGAAGTGTTGGGAGGTGCCACATACTTTTTTTAAATTGTATTTTAAGTTCTGGGGTACATGTGCAGACCTTGTAAGATTGCTGCATAGGTACACACATGTCTTGGTGGTTTGCTGTCTCCATCCCCCTGTCACCTACAACAGGCATTTCTCTCAGTGTTATCCCTTCCCAACCTCCCTGCCCCCTGCTGTCCCTCCCCTAGCCCCCAAACCCCCAACAGACCCCAGTTTGTGATGTTCCCCTCCCTGTGCCCATGTATTCTCATTGTTCAACCTCCACCCATGAGTGAGAAATATGCAGTGTTTGATTTTCTGCTCTTGTGCCAGTTTGCTGAGAATGATGGTTTCCAGATTCGTCCATGTCCTTACAAAGGACATGAACTCATCGTTTTTTATGGCTTCACAGTATTCCATGGGGTTTATGTGCCACATCTTCTTTGTCCAGTTTATCATTGATGAGCATTTGGGTTGGTTCCTGGTCTTTGCTATTATGAACAGTGCCGCAATGAACATACGTGTGCATTTGTCTTTATAATAGAACAATTTATAATCCTTTGGGTATATACCTAGTAATGGGTTTTCTGAGTCAAATGGAATTTCTATTTCTAGATCCTCGAGGAATTGCCACACTGTCTTCCACAATGGTTAAACTAATTTACACTCCCACCAACAGTGTAAAAGTGTTCCTATTTCTTTCCAGCATCTGTTGTCATACTTTTAAACAACCAGATTGTGCACAGTTCACTCATGCATTATCATGAGAACAGCACGAAGTGGGATGGTGTTAAATGGTTTGTGAGAAACCCCTCCCCATGATTCAGGCACCTCCTATCAGGCCCCACTTCCAACACTAGGGATTACAGTGCTTCGTAAGATTGGGTGGGGACACAGACCCAAATCATATCACTTACAAATGAGTTATTCTTTTACTTGCTGGCCATCAAAAATTCAAAGAAGATTATGTAAAATATAGTATTCTATCCTTTTCAGGATAAGAAAAGATAGTTATCTGATAACAAATTTAAAGCATTTAAGGATTACAAGCTTGGATTTAGAAATGTCTAATTTAAGTCAAGAAATATTTGTGGGCCTGACGTGGTGGCTCACACCTGTAATCCCAACACTTTGGGAAGCCAAGGCAGGTGGATAACCTGAGGTCAGGAGTTCAAGACCAGCCTGGCCAACATGGGAAAACCCTGTCTCTTCTAAAAATACAAAAAAAAATTTTTTTGGTGTTGGGCATCTGTAATCCTAGCTGCCTGAAGGCCAAGGCAGCAGAATTGCTTGAACCAGGAGGTGGAGGTTGTAGTGAGTCGAGATTGCGCCACTGCACTCCAGCCTAGGTGACAGAGTAAGACTGTCTAAAAAAAACAAAAAAAAAAAACCAAAACAATTTTTGTGTATTAGTTTATTACAATGAAAATCGTTTCACATAGAGGTGGCAAAAATAGGCCTACTGTTTCCATCAGCTTCATTATTTTGCCTGAATTTGAAAACTGTCTATGTGTTTTTAAGTCATTTATGCCATTAATCTGCCCTGGACTTTGGTTGATGTTAGAGGTAAGACCATGTCTTCTTGAAAGGGTGAAACTCCTCTATATCTGTTTTCTTTCTCTTCCTGCGTTTACACTAGACCATGCTTGCTTACAAACTTAGAATCCCTATAATTAAAAAAAGATTAAGAAGATAATGTGGAAAAGTATCAGGCAACACAAATGACAGTGTTTGTAACTGAACCAATGGTAGATTTTCTGGCTCTGCTTGGGGAGTAACTACCTTGGGATCATTCTTCATCAGTGGGGACTTCATTAGGCTTCAGTACTTCTCTCTTGGTCTCATTGTTGGGAATTAAGGAAAGACATTTATTTGTTTTGGTAAATCCCCTTCTTGAGGTTAGCAATGCTAAGTACTTGAAAGATCACAAACCAAACTTTGATGACCAATGGTGTTTATCACAGCTGCCTTACCCCAGTTGGAAAAGGAAAGGGAATGTTTTTGGAGAATGAAACATAAAAGTCACAGAAGGAAAAAATCCAAAGTATGAAAACATTTCTTTTTCCTACTAATTTCAGAAAATTCTTGATCAGAGATCTAGAGTCTTCCTTTTCTTTCCAGATGCCCAATTAATTAACCAGGCTGAAGTTGCAAAGTCTGCAAGGAGATCTTATATATCAGTGAGAGGATATCTCCTCAAAGCCATTCTAGATAACACTAAATAGTCATCGGTTATGTATAAAATTTTTCTTTTTGGTGCTGCAAAGAAAAATTAGTACTGGGACAAAGGATCTCTCAGCAAAGCAATTCTTTTTACTTACTGCAGAAAGGGTACTCCCACTAGCAATCTTGCCACAAGAGTACAATGAACAAAAGAAAGCAGAATTTATTTCTTACACATTTGGGGTTGTCCTTACCACTGTGTTTGATCTCTGTTGGCTGGAGCCAGACTTCACAATCTAAACTAAAGCTTGATTGTCTAATAACTTGAAACTTTTCTAAACAGGTAAAAGCAATGGAGAGCAAAAAAGGGAAGTCCAAATAAGGAAGGGGCAAAAGCTGTGAGCTGGGACATGCTTGTGAGCATGTCCAGCACAGATACCTTCGTTAAAGTACAAGGACATAGAATGTACTACGTGCCTATAAGCATGTCTAACAGCTACATAGGATAGGGCTTCTGGCCAAAAGGCAAGAAGGCTTTTAAAGAAAGTGTTTAAAACAAACTATTATTTCTAACAGTCATGAATTGTTCTTCAACAAGAAAGGAAACTTTTAAGAGGAACTTTTCTACTTCCCACATCATCCCTAATGACACTGTAGGTTTCCTAGCACTGCTGTTAGGTCTCTCTCCTAGAGCTATTTAAGGGTCCATCCAGCCACAGAACACACACTTTCAACTGTAGAGGCCCCACCTCAACCCACAGACCTAACCTTCTCTGGGCTGAGGATGGCCAGGTGGTGCTGGCTCAGGAAAGGTCCAGGCTTGGCTTCAGGCATAAGGATCAAAGTGAATACAGTGTCCTGCAGCAACCACTTTCTGCAGGGGCCTCACCCAGCTGAGCCCTTTGCTTTGCCAAGCCCTGTGCCCAAGGCTGGCCCCTGGGACCCAGGGTGTGCACCTCTGCTCCTTTGGCAGCGCTAATTGAGGGGCCAGGGAACAGGTGGGAGCTTGCTCAGTTCTTTAACATTGGTAGCATGAGGCCTAGGAGCAGCCTCCACACTGAAATGGAAGCAACAGGGAAATAAATGTGTAATCTAGTTTGGGGAAAGGTGGGAACAATTACCACCCCACTAAGTGTGTGTGACTCCTCCATCTTCCAGTGGGATTCAGAAATTCTTTTTCCTCATTGACTAATGTCTGCCTAGACATTTGGTGTTTTTCAACATGAATTTTCAAACAGTGAATGGGATCAGGGAGGCCCAGAATGCTTTGTGGAGTAGAGAATGAATAAATTAATTAAGTTTCAAATCCCCAAGAAGCTCCCTTACAATCAAGCTCAGTGGCCACTCTTTCTCTTCTTTGCCTTCTTCCATTTACTCCTTTCTTACTAATCTATGCCACTTAGAAATCTAGAAAATTTTCTGCAGTAAGAGGCTATTTACATTTATACTAAAGTTTAAATAGCTCTGCATCACACAGACTTTAATTTTAAGAAAAGACATTAATCTGTTCTTGTGTCAGTTTGCTGAGAATGTTGGGGAAGGATAACATTAGAAGAAATATCTGATGTAGATGACGGGAAGATGGATGCAGCAAACCACCATGGCATGTGTATACCTATGTAAGAAACTTGCAGGCTGGGTGCGGTGGCTCACGCCTGTAATCCTAGCACTTTGGGAGGCTGAGGCAGGTGGATCACGAGATCAAGAGATCGAGACCATCCTGGTCAACATGGTGAAACCCTGTCTCTACTAAAAATACAAAAAATTAGCTGGGCATGGTGGCCCGTGCCTGTAATCCCAGCTACTCAGGAGGCTGAGGCGGGAGAATTGCCTGAACCCAGGAGGCGGAGGTTGTGGTGAGCCGAGATCGCGCCATTGCACTCCAGCTGGGGTAACAAGAGTGAAACTCCGTCTCCAAAAAAAAAAAAAAAAAAAAAAGAAAGAAACATGCATGGTCTGCACATGCACCCCAGAACTTAAAGTATAATTAAAAAAAGATTATAGCCATAAAAAAGACACTAATCATTCTTGCCCTTGCAAGAGTAGAATGATGACCAGAGTCCTCAAAAAATACTCTCATTAATTAAATGTCATAATGGAATTTTCCCACTTGTTCTGTATATTCCTTTTATTATTGAGCAGAATTTTAAAGCCCAAAAAGTTACCAAAAAGAAAAAGAAAAAGTCAATTCTCAAAGAAGATCAGAATAAAGAACAGCAAAATGATGATCTGGTGTTTTCGATTGAAGAGGAGATGAAAAATAACTTACATTCTGGAATAAGGAAATTGGAAGATTTTTTGACGTCATGTGCAAGTAATTCAGCGAAATTTGGAGTTGAAATGTTAGGATTAGTTGCCTGCTTTAAAGCATGGAAAGAACATTGCCACAGTAAAGGTATGGGATCCCATACTTCATGGGTAAAGAGTAGTGATGAAAATATGACTGATGCTAACGTATTTATCGAATGCATGGTTGTGCTAAAACTTCGTATCATCCATTGTCTGATTTTATTCTCAACTTGACCCTTTAAAATAGTTTTTATTATCCTATTTTGCAGACAAGGAAATGGAATTGTGGAGAGGTTAGACAGAGGGTCTCAACGGGGAAAAGATGGCACGTTCAAAAATAAATGAAGAGAGTATAAAGAAAAAACTCTTTCTGAAAGTGTGGGGAGAATTACAGGGATCAGCAAAGTAGGGTGAGGCTCAGCAGCAGCAACAGCACCTATCCCAGAAGGAAAGCTGTCAGCACCAGGGAGATCTAAAGTTGCTGTTGGCAGGGGATTCTCCATGGGTTTTCCACGTTTCTCCTGCCTAGCCCACAGAAGCATTGACAGGTTCACTTCCAGACAATCTTCTTAAGTATGTTTGCGTAGTGAACAAGCTTGGAAGGAAGAAATTGTGTATCTCTCTAGGGCAAAGACCAAGTGTGTTTACTGTCCGGTGTAATAAAGATCACATTTCCCTCCAGAGCAGAGAAGCAGGTTTTGCTTGAGACCCATTATAAAATATTTCAGTTTTCTAAGTTCAGATTTCCTTAGCTGTGACATAAACTCTCTCTGTGTGTGGTTTCTACCTGGGTTCTGTATCTCCCCCATGGAGCACAAGGGGAACTGACATATCCTCCTCCGTGCTCATTTTGTTAACTGGGCCATGATAATAAAGCCTTTTGTCTCTGACCCAGGAGTCTCATATCTTTTGCCAGCAACCATGAAACTATGAAAGACTAAATTGGTAGCTTGTAAATAGGATAAAATCTCAGCCCTTTGGCACTTCTTGACAAGAGCAGGGAAGAGAGTGGTTACCAGAATTCCTGGAGAGCCATAGCTATGGGAGAATAGATGCCCAACAGTGCCTGCAGTCCTAGGTAACCGGACACAACCATTTCCAGACTGTGGACTGGCAGGGAGGGAACTGGGTTGGAATGGGCCTAGCCTGCCTTGCATTCTAAGTGCTCCCTCAGGTTTCTTTGGCTCCCTGTGCTCCTGTATCAATGTCTCCAACTGGCATTAGAGAATGATTTTGGTGAAATATGTAGCAGAAGTGATGTGTGCATACTATTTTCAGGTGTTATTTCTTCATATGACTTGTAGTGTGTGCTTTTATTACTTATTTTTCTGAAAATTGAATTGTGGAAGAGATAACTAAGGGAAAGAAATAGAGAAAAGACTGGGTAAAGATACATGATTTTCTTTTCTTTTTTTGGGACAGTCTTACCCTGTCACCCAGGCTGGAGTACAGTGGTGCGAACTCAGCTCACTGCAACCTCCACCTTGTGGGTTCAAGCTTCAAGCAATTCTCCTGTCTCAGCCTCCTGTGTAGCTGGGATTACAGGTGCCAGCCACCAAGCCTGGCTAATTTTTGTATGTTTAGTAGAGATGGGTTTTTGCTCATGTTGGCCAGGCTGGTCTCAAACTCCTGACCCCAGGTGATCCATCAGCCAGGGCCTCCCAAAAGTGCTGGGATTACAGGCGTGAGCCACTGTGGCAGGCCTGAGATATGTGATTTTCATGCTAGACCAAGCTGACGATTCCTCTTCAAGTTGCTGTGGTTGATCACCCTGTCTTGAGTATCTCCTACTGAGCTTATTTCCGTGTGGGGCCACATGACTGTGTAGTCACGCTCATGCCTCTATTCCACTTCCCACAAAGCCAGTGCTTCAGTGGCTGCCAGAGACCATGCTCATTTTCATCTCTAAGCTTTAGCATATGTATTTTTACTTATCTGTATCCATGATGCCATATCAGTTAGGAATTGCCATTAGCTATTAACAGAGATAGGAATGAACAATGGCTTTAAAAAGATAGTTTATTTCTCTTTCATGAAAAAGATGTCCAGAGATAAGCAATTCAATGTCACTGGGAACTTAGACTCTGCTATCACACCATTCTTACTGCATGAATTGTATTCTTTTTATTTTTTTATTGAGACAGAGTCTTGAGTCCCACTCTGTCTCCCAGGCTGCAGTGCAGTGGCCCTATCTCAGCTTGCCTCCCAGGTTTAAGCAATTCTCTTGTCTCAGGCTCCCAAGTAGCTGGATTACAGGCATGCACTACCACACCTGACTAATTTTTGTAGTTTTAGTAGAGGCATGAGTTGTATTCTTAAAGTTATGTCATGAATGCAGTTGGCTGCTGATGCTACAGCCATGATGACTGTAATCCAGAACAAAGTAGGAAGAAGAAAAAAGGGCAAATTTGTACATTCGTGCTGCATTTCTCCTATGTAAGGAGCCTTCTGTACCAGAAATTCCACCAATTTCTGCTTACCTCTCAGTGGCCAAACTTAGTAACAAAACCACACCTAACCACAGAGAGATTAGAAAATGCGGACTTTGAATTGGACATACTGCAGTATCCATTAGCATAGGGATTTATAAAAAGCATTGGGTGAGAAGGGATGTTGAGGAGGTAGTGATCAGTTTCTGCTACAGATGTTCTCCTGCCTGTTTCCATCAGCCTAAATTTTGTGTGCCCTTCAAGGCCAGTTTATGCCCAACTTCTTGTGGAGTGCCCCCCCCACCAGCTTCTCCAGTCTTGTAACACTTACTGCCTCTATCACTCCGTTTGGACCCTGAATGGTGAGTCACTTAGATATTTCACTTATCTGTTTTAGCACGAATCCCTTGTTCTCCAATTAGACTGAAGGTTCCTCCATATAAGAACTCTGCCTTAAATTTCATTCATACTTCCTTAAGGCATACATTGGTGGTCTGCATAAGCAGTAGCTCAGTGGCATTTGTCAAGAAAGAGGATATTACAGCAGCCCTGACTTTATATGGAATGGTTAGTAGCGGGATAGAGATAAAGAGGCTATATATGAACAGGAGGTAATAGAAGGGCTTAGGAGAGTGGATAGAATGATTGGGATGCGGTGAGGTTGTATCTTAGCCCTCAATGATTGAAGAGTTCTGCTGATGGTTTCATAAATACAAGTACTGTATGTGGTGAAGAGTAGGAGGCCTTGTTAAATGTTGTTCATGTTGTGGTCGGGCATCTAAAACCATAGGACATTTTTCTATGAACAAGAGTGGAAGACACAGTAGTATTGTGTTATTTTTTTCTGGAAATGTGTTCAGAGCTCAGTTTATTTATTTATTTATTTTTATTTTTTATTTTTTTAAATTTTTTATTGGATTTTAGGTTTTGGGGTACATGAGCAGAGCATGTAAGACAGTTGCGTAGGAACACACATGGCAGTGTGCTTTTCTTTCCTTCTCCCCTTCACCCACATTTGGCATTTCTCCCCAGGCTATCCCTCCCCACCTCTCCCTGCCACTGGCCCTCCCCTTTTCCCCCCAATAGACCCCAGTGTTTAGTACTCCCCTTTCTGTGTCCATGTGTTCTCATTTTTCATCACCCACCTATGAGTGAGAATATGCGGTGTTTCATTTTCTGTTCTTGTGTCAGTTTGCTGAGGATGACGTTCTCCAGATTCATCCATGTCCCTACAAACGACACAAACTCATCATTTCTGACTGCTGCATAATATTCCATGGTGTATATGTGCCACATTTTTCCAATCCAGTCTATCATCAATGGGCATTTTGGTTGATTCCAGGTCTTTGCTATTGTAAACAGTGCTGTAATGAACATTCGTGTACATGTGTCCTTATAGTAGAACGATTTATAGTCTTTTGGATATATACCCAGTAATGGGATTGCTGGGTCAAATGGAATTTCTATTTCTAAGGCCTTGAGGAATCGCCACACTGTCTTCCACAATGGTTGAACTAATTTACACTCCCACCAACAGTGTAAAAGTGTTCCTTTTTCTCCACATCCTCTCCAGCATCTGTTGTCTCCAGATTTTTTAATGATCGCCATTCTAACTGGCGTGAGATGGTATCTCAATGTGGTTTTGATTTGCATCTCTCTGATGACCAGTGACGATGAGCATTTTTTCATATGATTGTTGGCCTCATATATGTCTTCTTTCGTAAAGTATCTGTTCATATCCTTTGCCCACTTTTGAATGGGCTTGTTTGTTTTTTTCCTGTAAAGCCGTTTGAGTTCTTTGTAAATTCTGGATATCAGCCCTTTGTCAGATAGGTAAACTGCAAAAATTTTTTCCCATTCTGTTGGTTGCCGATCCACTCTAGTGACTGTTTCTTTTGCTGTGCAGCAGCTGTGGAGTTTCATTAGGTCCCATTTGTCTATTTTGGTTTTTGTTGCCAATGCTTTTGGTGTTTTGTTCATAAAGTCCTTGCCTACTCCTATGTCCTGGATAGTTTTGCCTAGATTTCCTTCTAGGGTTTTTATGGTGCCAGGTCTTATGTTTAAGTCTTTAATCCATCTGGAGTTAATTTTAGTGTAAGGTGTCAGGAAGGGGTCCAGTTTCTGCTTTCTGCACATGGCTAGCCAGCTTTCCCAACACCATTTGTTAAACAGGGAATCCTTTCCCCCTTGCTTGTTTTTGTCAGGTTTATCAAAGATTGTATGGTTGTAGATATGTTGTGTTGCCTCCGATGCCTCTGTTTTGTTCCATTGGTCTATATCTCTGTTTTGGTACCAGTACCATGCTGTTTTGATTACTGTAGCCTTGTAGTATAGTTTGAAATCCGGTAGTGTGATGCCCCCTGCTGTGTTCTTTTTGCTTAGAATTGACTTGGCTATGCGGGCTCTCTTTTGGTTTCATATGAAGTTCATGGTGTTTTTTCCAGTTCTGTGAAGAAAGTCAATGATAGCTTGATGGGGATAGCGTTGATTCTGTAAATTAGAACTGTTGGGCAGTATAGCCATTTTCACGATATTAATTCTTCCTAACCATGAACATGGAATGTTTCTCCATCTGTTTGTGTCCTCTCTGATTTCGTTGAGGAGTGGTTTGTAGTTCTCCTTGAAGAGGTCCCTTACGTTCCTTGTGAGTTGTATTCCAAGGTATTTTATTCTTTTTGTAGCAATTGTGAATGGCAGTTCATTCTTGATTTGGCTTTCTTTAAGTCTGTTATTGGTGTAGACGAATGCTTTTGATTTTTGCACATTGATTTTATATCCTGAGACTTTGCTGAAGTTGCTTATCAGTTTCAGGAGTTTTTGGGCTGAGGCGATGGGGTCTTCTAGGTATACTATCATGTCGTCTGCAAATAGAGACAATTTGGCTTCCATCTTTCCTATTTGAATACCCTTTATTTCTTTTTCTTGCCTGATTGCTCTGGTTAGAACTTCCAGAACTATACTGAATAGGAGTGGTGAAAGAGGGCATCCTTGTCTAGTGCCAGATTTCAAAGGGAATGCTTCCAGTTTTTGCCCATTCAGTATGATATTGGCTGTTGGTTTGTCATAAATAGCTTTTATTACTTTGAGATACGTTCCATCGATACCGAGTTTATTGAGGGTTTTTAGCATAAAGGGCTGTTGAATTTTGTCAAATGCCTTCTCTGCGTCGATTGAGATAATCATGTGGTTTTTGTTTATGGTTCTGTTTATGTGGTGAATTACGCTTATAGACTTGCGTATGTTGAACCAGCCTTGGATCCCTGGGATGAATCCTACTTGATCATGGTGAATAAGGTTTTTGATTTGCTGTTGCATTCGGCTTGCCAATATTTTATTGAAGATTTTTGCATCTATGTTCATCATGGATATTGGCCTGAAGTTTTCTTTTCTTGTTGGGTCTCTGCCGGGTTTTGGTATCAGGATGATGTTGGTCTCATAAAATGATTTGGGAAGTATTCCCTCCTTTTGGATTGTTTGAAATAGTTTTAGAAGGAATGGTACCAGCTCCTCCTTGTGTGTCTGGTAGAATTCGGCTGTGAACCCGTCTGGACCTGGGCTTTTTTTGTGTGGTAGGCTCTTAATTGCTGCCTCTACTTCTGACCTTGTTATTGGTCTATTCATAGTTTCAGCTTCCTCCTGGTTTAGGCTTGGGAGGACACAGGAATCCAGGAATTTATCCATTTCTTCCATGTTTACTAGTTTATGTGCATAGAGTTGTTTGTAATATTCTCTGATGATGGTTTGAATTTCTGTGGAATCTGTGGTGATTTCCACTTTATCATTTTTTATCGCATCTATTTGGTTTTTCTCTCTTTTCTTTTTAATCAATCTGGCTAGTGGTCTGTCTATTTTGTTGATCTTTTAAAAAAACCAGCTCTTGGATTTATTGATTTTTTGAAGGGTTTTTCGTATCTCAATCTCCTTCAGTTCAGCTCTGATCTTAGTTATTTCTTGTCTTCTGCTGGGTTTTGAGTTTTTTTGATCTTGCTCCTCTAGCTCTTTCAATTTTGACGATAGGGTGTCAATTTTGGATCTCTCCATTCTCCTCATATGGGCACTTATTGCTATATACTTTCCTCTAGAGACTGATTTAAATGTGTCCCAGAGGTTCTGGCATGTTGTGTCTTCGTTCTCATTGGTTTCGAAGAACTTCTTTATTTCTGACTTCATTTCATTGTTTACCCAGTCAACATTCAAGAGCCAGTTGTTCAGTGTCCATGAAGCTGTGCGGTTCTGGGTAGGTTTCTGTATTCTGAGTTCTAACTTGATTGCACTATGGTCTGAGAGGCTGTTTGTTATGATTTCGGTTGTTTTGCATTTGCTGAGCAGTGCTTTACTTCCAATTATGTGGTCAGTTTTTGAGTAGGTGTGATGTGGTGCTGAGAAGAATGTATATTCTGTGGATTTGGGGTGGAGAGTTCTGTAAATGTCTATCAGGTTTGCTTGCTCCAGGTCTGAGTTCAAGCCCCGGATATCCTTGTTGATTTTCTGTCTGGTTGATCTGTCTAATATTGACAGTGGAGTGTTAAAGTCTCCCACTATTATTGTGTGGGAGTCTAAGTCTCTTTGTAAGTCATTAAGAACTTGCCTTATGTATCTGGGTGCTCCTGCATTGGGTCCATATATGTTTAGGATCATTAGCTCTTCTTGTTTTATTGATCCTTTTACCAGTATGTAATGGCCTTCTTTGTCTCTTTTGATCTTTGTTGCTTTAAAGTCTATTTTATCAGAGATGAGAATTGCAACTCCTGCTTTTTTTTGCTCTCCATTTGCTTGGTAAATCTTCCTCCATCCCTTTATTTTGAGCCTTTGTGTATCCTTGCATGTGAGATGGGTTTCCTGGATACAGCACACTGATGGGTTTTGGATTTTTTCCAATTTGCCAGTCTGTGTCTTTTGATTGGTGCATTTAGTCCATTTATATTTAGGGTTAATATTGTTATGTGTGAATTTGATACTGCCATTTTGATGCTAAGTGGCTGTTTTGCCTGTTAGTTGTTGTAGAATCTTCGTTATGTTCATGCTCTTTAACTTTTAGTGTAATTTTGGAATGGCTGGTACTGGTTGTTCCTTTCTATGTGTAGTGCCTCTTTTAGGAGCTCTTGTAAAGCTAGCCTGGTGGTGACAAAATCTCTGAGTACTTGCTTGTTCACAAAGGATTTTATTTTTCCTTCACTTCTGAAGCTCAGTTTGGCTGGATATGAAATTCTGGGTTGAAAGTTCTTTTCTTTAAGAATGTTGGATATTGGCCCCCACTCTCTTCTGGCTTGTAGTGTTTCTGCCGAGAGATCTGCTGTGAGTCTGATGGGCTTCCCTTTGTGGGTAACTCGACCTTTCTCTCTGGCTGTACTTAGTATTTTCTCCTTTATTTCAACCTTGTTGAATCTGACGATTATGTGCCTTGGGGTTGCTCTTCTTGCAGAATATCTTTGTGGTGTTCTCTGTATTGCCTGCATTTGAGTGTTGGCCTGTCTTGCTAGTTGGGGGAAGTTTTCCTGGATGATGTCCTGAAGAGTATTTTCCAGCTGGGATTCATTCTCTTTGTTCCCTTCTGGTACACCTATCAAACGTAGATTAGGTCTTTTCACATAGTCCCACATTTCTTGGAGACTTTGTTCATTCCTTTTTGCGCTTTTTTCTCTAATCTTGGTTTCTCGTTTTATTTCATTGAGTTCATCTTCGACTTCTGAAATTCTTTCTTCTGCTTGGTTAATTCGGCTATTGAACCTTGTGCATGCTTCGCGAAGTTCTCATATTGTGTTTTTCATCTCCTTTAATTCGTTCATATTCCTCTCTAAGTTATCCATTCTTGTTATCATTTCCTCATATCTTTTTTTAAGTTCCTTAGTTTCTTTGCATTGATTTAATACATGTTCTTTTAGCTCACAAAAGTTTCTCATTATCCACCTTCTGAAGTCTAATTCCGTCATTTCGTCATAGTCATTCTCCGTCCAGCTTTGCTCCCTTGCTGGTGAGGAGTTTTGGTCCTTTCTAGGAGGCGAGGTGTTCTGGTTTCGGGTGTTTTCCTCCTTTTTTCGCTGGTTTCTTCCCATCTTTGTTGGTTTATCCGCTTGTCGTCTGTGTAGTTGCTGACTTTTCGATTGGGTCTCTGAGTGGACACCCAGATTGTTGATGATGAAATATTTCTGTTACTTGGTTTTCCTTCTACCAGCCTAGCCCCTTCGCTGTACAACTGCTGAGGTCCACTCCAGGCCCTGCTTGTCTGGGGTGCACCTCTAGCCGTTGTGGCACAGTGAGGGATGCTACCCGTTTCTGTTTCTGCTATCTTTGTCCCAGGATGATGCCTGCCAAATGACAGTCTTTTGGATATAGAGGCGTCAGGGAGCTGCTTGAGGAGACAGTCTGTACTTTTTTGGAGCTCAATTGCTGAGCTGTGAGCTCTGTTGTTCATTCAGGGCTGTTAGGCTGCTATGTTTGATTCTGCTGCAACAGAGCTCATTAAAAAACCCTTTTTTTTTCTCAAATGCTCTGGGTTGAGGGGTTTGGGCTTTATTTTTGCATTTCCGATGAGGTGTCCTGCCCAGCTAGTAGGCAGACTAGCCACTGTTTGGCTGCCAAGGCTCCGCCCTGCTGTTGTGTGATTCGCCCTGTTCCTGCAGGCTCTGCTGTGGTCTCCGCAGCCCTGCGGCGGAGTCTCTTCATTGTAGCGTGTTGCCTTGGCAATGGCAGGCTGCGTCAGCAGTGGGCGTGTATCTCAGTAGGGACGGGTTGCCTCGGCAATGGCAGGCTGCGTCAGCAGTGGGCGTGTATCTCAGTAGGGACGGGTTGCCTCGGCAATGGCTGGCTGCGTCAGCAGTGGGCGTGTATCTCAGTTGGGGTGGGTTGCCTCGGTAGTGGTGGATGCCCCTCCCCCACAGTGCGTCTCCGACCGTCTGCTCGGGATAGTTTGAAATCGCGGTTTTGTTCATCCCACTGGGTGTCCCAAACAATCTGTCCCTGCAATCTCCTGGGCTGGCCTACTGTCCAAGTCTCCTTCAGTCTCAAGTTCAGCCCTCTCAAGTCTCAGGTTGCCAGTTCAACAGGGCACCCGGACAAGCGCGCCCTGTGGGTATTGCTGGGTAGGGCCGGCTGCTGCCGCCCCAGCTGCCGGCTTCGCCAGGCAGACCTACTGCCTGGCGTCCCGTGTCTTTTTTATACTTGGGAGTTTCCCCGTTCTGTGGGCAACAAAGATCAGTCTGGAAATGCAGCTCCGACACACCATTTGCGGATTCAACGAGAGCTCCAATCCTGGGTTGTTCTCACAGTGCCATTTGAGTCCTCCCCCAGAGCTCAGTTTAAATGGTTCTTATTTTTGCTGTAAATCACAAAGTTTGTTTCTTTTCTTTTTTGCCTATACTTATCAAGCTATGACAAAGTTACTTAAGTTGATAATGAAATGTGGGTAGAAGGAGTATTAATTTAATTTGATCATGAGTTTTAGTTTTTAATGCTCTAAAAATCTCCTTCAAAGTCATGTAAAATAGTGAGTTTAATCAAATAAGGTTAATTTATTAACTCAGTGATTCTCATGAGTGATCAAGCAGTTACTTCTGATGCTCTTTATAACATTTTTATTGTTTCTCTAACAAGGCAAAATTTCAAAAGATATAAGTATTGCTGTTCAAATGATGAAAAGGATTCATTCACTCCTGGAGAGATACCCAGAAATTTTGGAAGTGGAACATCATCAATATATAGCTAAATGCCTTAACTGTTTAGGCTTTAATGATTTGGCAAGCTCTTTAGATCCGACTTTGGTAAGAGAAGTAGCTTTTCTTATACTTTCAACTTTAACTAAATTTTAATACAGAAGAAGAACTAATTAGCCTAATAAAGTATCTCACATATAGAGGTATCAATTAAGTTTACTCTGATTCTAGTTTATAAAATAATAGGTTAGAGGTTACTTATTATTAACCTAGCTGCTGAACTTTGAAGTAAGTTAAAATTAGAAAATTTGTACAGTTGCTTTCCAAAAACAAAAATTAAATACTAGATGATATCCAGGTGCCACTTTGAATCCTTTTGGTAACAAGAAAGAATCCTATACTTAATTCTGACACAATCTAAAAACTGTAATGTTGTGAGATTGAAGAATGATCTTTAATAGGTTTCCAGGTTTCAATTCCAGGATGAACTTTTTTTAACATTAATATTTGCTATTGTACTTTTCCCAAGAATAATATTTTCGGTGGTAAAACTTTCCTTACTTAAATATTACACAATTTAAAAGCATAGTAGGCCAGGTAGCTCATGCTTTTAATCTCTGCACTTTGGAAGGCCAAGGTGTGCAGATCACTTGACCCCAGGATATCAAGACCAGCCTGGGCAGCATGGCAACACCCTGCCTGTGCAAAACACACACACAAAGTATTAGCCACATTTGATGACATGAGCGTGTAGTCTCAGCTACTCAGCTAGGGGGTAGGAGGTGGTGGGGCTGAGGCAGGAGGATTACTTGCACCCTGGAGTTTGAGGCTGCGGTAAGCTATGACTGAGCCAATGCACTCCAGCCTGGGTGATAGAGCGAGACCCTGTCTCAAAAAAAAAATAAGTAAATAAAAAATAAACATGTTTTCTGCATAGAATGTGCTAAGTGAATATTTAATAAATGTTTATTCGGTTTTGAAGTTTAAGTTGATTTCAAAGAAAATAATATATTAAAATAATAACAGGTGATAGGGGATGACGAAAAGAAGAATAAAGGAAATAAATATTCAATTGGCATGGGGCCAGCTCGGTTTCAACTGCAATACATGGGCCCTTACTTGATACGAGATGAAAGAAAGGATCCAGATCCCAGGGTCCAGGATTTTATTCCCGACACATGGCAGGTAATGATGACAAACACGGTACTTTTCTAATCAGCGTGACTTCAGAGCTGCTCATTACTGTGTCTCTACATGTTATATTTTGCATAAACTTCTTAATCTTGTTGAACGTCATTCCTCTCCTGTGCCTGGAGAATGTAGCTAGAGTATGAGAAATCATTCACTTTTCCCCCTTATTGGCCTTTTAATTTTCACCGTCAGTGAAAGTTATACTGATATCTGTTTGTATGTGAAGGCTAATGTGGCATTACTAGTTCTTAGAACTCACTTTGGCAAACCTTTTCCTGCGCTTACTCAATGACAATTGGAAAAAGTTTTTTCTAATGGAAAAAAGATGTATTCAGTCTTGCTTTCTATTTTGCAGAAATGAAACCCTCTCTCTAGGCCAAAATGTAAAACAAAATTTCTTTTCTGAGTGAATGGCACGAGTAATCCAGGTATTTTCCTGAATCCTTGAGTGTCCACTAGACCTAATCTTCAGGGTTTCAGGGAGTTCTCCTGAAGGTAGCACAACTCAGTCACAGGAGACAGAAGGTACAAAGGATACTGTCTGTGCTTTGGTAACATGCTGTTCACTTTCTTGACACAAATGGTGCTTTGTACTCCGCAGCGGGAACTCCTGGATGTGGTGGATAAGAATGAGTCAGCAGTGATTGTGGCCCCAACGTCCTCAGGCAAAACCTATGCTTCCTACTACTGCATGGAGAAAGTGCTGAGGGAGAGCAATGATGGGGTGGTTGTGTACGTTGCACCCACAAAGGTAGCACTTGAGTGACTTTCATTTTCTTTTTTGTTCCTGAATGTCCCCTTTAAAAAGAATGAACATGGTCACGTGGTAGACCTAATTCACTATTTTATTTTATTTGAGACAGAGTCTTGCTCTGTTGCCCAGGCTGGAGTGCAGTGGCATGATCTCAGCTCACTGCAAATTCCACCTCCTGTGTTCAAGCGAATCTCTCATCTCAGCCTCCCAAGTAGCTGGGATTATAGGAGCATGCTGCCATGCCCTGCTAATTTTTGTATTTTTAATAGAGATGGGGTTTCACCATGTTGTCCAGGCTGGTCTCAAACTCCTGACCTCAGGTGATCCACCCACCTTGGCCTCCCAAAGTGTTGGGATTACAGGCATGAGCCACCGTGCCTGGCCAAGAAACTATTTTTGATATATTCATTTCATCTAATATATTAATGTTTTCATTTATAGTTACTGCAATTATACGTATTTTTAGAAAATATTTCACTATCAGGAATATAAACATGATAACTATGTAGTATTTTTAAGGATTAATATTTTTAAAATTTACATTTTAAGTTATTTCCCTTACTTTCTCTTCCCTTTTCCTTTTTTCTTTTCCCTCCCTCCCTTGGAGTGGTATGCTATGATTATAATTATGAAGATTTATGTTTTGCTTTCAATTAATATTGTTTCCATTAAAAAACACAGCCGGGTATATGTGACTTCCATTTCCAGTAATACGGTGGTATAGGGCAACAGAAAAATCTCTTTATGTAAAACACCTGAAATGATGGATAAGAGACACCAAACATCTTTTCATATAATTATAGCTAAGCTCAAAACAATAGAAGGGGAATCCTGGGGGCTGAAAAATTTAGGGAAGGCCACATGGGCTCTCCGGCTCTTTTAGGCAGCGAGTTGCAGGGGCCTAAATCAGAAACAATCTGGACAAACACAGGCAGAGGGAGGGCCAGGAGCTCAGGCAGAGCAATGGCGGTTTACCTGGAATCATGAGCCAGACGTTCCATAGAAAGTCATCCATTCCTCCGTTATCATCATCATGTACATATATGTATGTATGTATGTATGTATGTATGTATCTATCATCTTATCTACCTATATCTATCAATCATCTATTTATCATCTATCTATTCCCTATTAATCATCTATCTATTATTTATCAATCATCTATCTATCTATATCTATCTATCTAATTGTGTGTGTGTGTGTAAAATCAAGGAGGATCAAAGAGAATACTGCAATGGAATCAAATAATTTCACTATCATCTGTATTTTTCCCTACTTTATTTCATTTTCATTTGTGTGTGTGTGTGTGTGTGTGTGTGGTGTATATATAGATTCTGTTGTCCTCTGAGGTTTTATTTGTCTGTTCTTTTCGAAGTGACTAATGGTTGTTTTTTTTTTTTTTTTGTCAATCAGGCTGTTGTTGGTCAGGTGGCTGCAAGCGTTCAGAATCGTTTTACTAAAAGGTTACCTGCTGACAGAACTCTATGTGGTGCTTTCACAAGAGATTATCATCACAATGCACTAAATTCTCAGGTATGACATACTAATTCATGAGTTTATTATCAAATTATAAAGCAGTACATATGTAACTGTTTTTCTGGGAACCTGCAAAGCACAAGTTCTTAGAGAAATAATTTCATTGAATTTACAAAAAAATAAAATTGCTCTAAGGAAAATTTAAGATTGTTCTACTGTAAAAAGTAAAAGCTAGGCTCACTGTTTCTGAGGATACTTACATTATGAGCTGAAATTTCAAATAGAAGGTTATGATATTTTATTATAACTTAGAAAGGGATTAAAGTAGATTTGACAAACCCAATGAATTACTAAATGACTACCCAACATTTTCTTATCATTCAAAATTGCTGGTTCTTGTGAATGATGTGTATGGATCCTCATAATAAAGACTTATCTCAAAAAGATTGTGTGTTGTTAGTGGAACCGTTGATGGGTAAATCATAGATTAAGATAGATTGTCTCCCTTACTGAATTCACAAAGTAGACATTTAAGACTAAACAAAATATAAAACAATCATTACAGAGCAGTAGCTTTTTTTTTTTGCATTTTCGTTAATCCAAATGTTCATAAATGTAAAGACTTAAATGAAAAATGTCAAAGATGTGATATTATCTTAATGAAACTGCTATCAGCTGCAGCATATTTTCTAGGTTTCTGTTACTACACCTGATATAAAATTAATGCTCAGTAAAGTTAGCTACACTAATCATTCATATTTTTAGGTACTTATTACAGTGCCTGAATGTTTCGAAATTCTGCTGCTTGCTCCTAATCGCCAAAAATGGGTGAAAAGGATTAGATATGTTATATTTGACGAGGTAGGTTTGATGTTAATTCTCTGGGTTGATGTTCTAGTCTGCATGTAAAAAAAAATAATTTCTAATTTAAAGAATATGGGGCTTTTTCAATGATAGGAATTGTCTAAGTTTTGTGTCAGCCAGCATACCAACTGAAAACAGATTGCAGATTCACATTAGCATAATTTTTAAAAAAGCGTTTTTACACAGGGGCTGTTTACAAAGGTTTGTGAAAGGGAAACCACAAGGTCAGTGCAGTAATCCAGAGTAGCACAAGCCTTTCAACCCTGTAAGGATGATGGAAGGAGGAAGCAGTAGGAACCTCAAAAGAAGAAAGATTCTATGTATGTGTCTCTTTGGGAAGAACAATGACCTTGGTGAAGGAATGCAGCTGGATCTCTTAGGGAAGTAGCCAAAAGAATAAAGACCTTGACCTCACTGTCTTCTCTCCTTTCCATCTCTTGCCTAGGCTTCCCACTGGCCAAACCCAATAGAAGCTAGAGAGCTAGGGAGGGTGGGATCCATTTTCCAAGGTCAGACTCATTGGTCAGAGAGCAATGTGGAGAATGGTGTAGCTCTGGGGGGACATAGCTAAGTTATTACCAGTATGAATGGAAAGTATTTTAAATAGAATTCAAGCTTTGGATTTTGTTGCTTCAAGGAATTTTCAGCTTAAAGGAAAACTAGGTGACAAACCTATGTATTGAATCTACTCCTTTTTTGTGTGAAGTTGGGAACTCGTGGACATGCTGTTGTTCTGCTTTCTTTGTCCTGAAAGTAGTCTATTTCGTTTTATGCATCATGCTGTACTGTGTATTGCTTACTTCTAACATTCCCATTTTAAGGGAAAACAAAACAAAACCCCTGATCTTCACAATCTAGAACCTTGGATTATGGTCTTGTCTCAAACTGCATAAGCACAGTAATGTTAAAACATGAGTAATGAGGCTGGGTGCGGTGGCTCATGCCTTTAATCCCAATACTTTTGGAGGCCGAGGCAGGTGGATCACCTGAGGTCAAGAGTTCGAGAACAGCCTGGCCAACATGATGAAACCCCATCTATACTAAAAATACAAAGATTAGCCAGGTGTGATGGTGCATGCCTGTAATCTCAGCTACTTAGAAGGCTGAGGCAGGAGAGTCACTTGAACATGGGAGGGGGAGGTTGCAGTGAGCCAAGATCGCACCACTGCACTCCACCCTGGTCAGCAATAGTGAAACTGTCTCAAAAAAACAACCAACTAAGCAAACAACAAAACAACAAAAACAAATAAAACAAAAAACCAAAAACAAAACATGGGTAACCTGGGTTTCCTGATTTATAATTCCATAAAACTTGATTGTAAGAAGTCTTTAAAAATTGTTTATTCTAGAATGTTCAGAGAAATTGCCAGCTGATACAAAATCTAAGATTAGCATTTGGTAAAGTGGCTGATTGCCTGAGCAGATCAGAGTCAGAAGGGATATGAGAATATATTTCTTTTTTTTTTTTTTTTTTTAGTTTCAGGTTACTGTCTTTATTTTTATTTATTTTTTAAATTTTTTATTGGATTTTAGGTTTTCTGGTACATGAGCAGAGCATGCAAGACAGTTGCGTAGGTGCACACATGGCAGTGTGCTTTGCTTTGCTTCTCCCCTTCACCCACATTTGGCATTTCTCCCCAGGCTATCCCTCCACACCTCCCCCTCCCACTGGCCCTCCCCTTTTCCCCCAATAGACCCCAGTGTTTAGTACTCCCCTTTCTGTGTCCATGTGTTCTCATTTTTCATCACCCGCCTATGAGTGAGAATATGCGGTGTTTCATTTTCTGTTCTTGTGTCAGTTTGCTGAGGATGATGTTCTCCAGATTCATCCATGTCCCTACAAACGACACAAACTCATCATTTCTGATTGCTGCATAATATTCCATGGTGTATATGTGCCACATTTTTCCAATCCAGTCTATCATCAATAGGCATTTGGGTTGATTCCAGGTCTTTGCTATTGTAAACAGTGCTGCAATGAACATTCATGTACATGTGTCCTTATAGTAGAACGATTTATAGTCTTTTGGATATATACCCAGTAATGGGATTGCTGGGTCAAATGGAATTTCTATTTCTAAGGCATTGAGGAATCGCCACACTGTCTTCCACAATGGTTGAACTAATTTACACTCCCACCAACAGTGTAAAAGTGTTCCTTTTTCTCCACATCCTCTCCAGCATCTGTTGTCTCCAGATTTATTAATGATCACCATTCTAAGTGGCGTGAGATGGTATCTCAATGTGGTTTTGATTTGCATCTCTCTGATGACCAGTGACGATGAGCATTTTTTCATATGATTGTTGGCCTCATATATGTCTTCTTTTGTAAAGTGTCTGTTCATATCCTTTGCCCACTTTTGAATGGGCTTGTTTGTTTTTTTCCTGTAAATCTGTTTGAGTTCTTTGTAAATTCTGGATATCAGCCCTTTGTCAGATGGGTAAATTGCAAAAATTTTTTCCCCTTCTGTTGGTTGCCGATCCACTCTAGTGACTGTTTCTTTTGCCGTGCAGAAGCTGTGGAGTTTCATTAGGTCCCATTTGTCTATTTTGGCTTTTGTTGCCAATGCTTTTGGTGTTTTGTTCATAAAGTCCTTGCCTACTCCTATGTCCTGGATAGTTTTGCCTAGATTTCCTTCTAGGGTTTTTATGGTGCCAGGTCTTATGTTTAAGTCTCTAATCCATCTGGAGTTAATTTTAGTGTAAGGTGTCAGGAAGGGGTCCAGTTTCTGCTTTCTACACATGGCTAGCCAGTTTTCCCAACACCATTTGTTGAACAGGGAATCCTTTCCCCATTGCTTGTTTTTGACAGGTTTATCAAAGATTGTATGATTGTAGATATGTTGTGTTGCCTCTGTTGCCTCTGTTCTGTTCCATTGGTCTATATCTCTGTTTTGGTACCAGTACCATGCTGTTTTGATTACTGTAGCCTTGTAGTATAGTTTGAAATCCGGTAGTGTGATGCCCCCTGCTGTGTTCTTTTTGCTTAGAATTGACTTGGCTATGCGGGCTCTCTTTTGGTTCCATATGAAGTTCGTGGTTGTTTTCTCCAGTTCTGTGAAGAAAGTCAATGGTAGCTTGATGGGTATAGCATTGATTCTGTAAATTACTTTGGGCAGTATAGCCATTTTCACGATATTAATTCTTCCTAACCATGAACATGGAATGTTTCTCCATCTGTTTGTGTCCTCTCTGATTTCGTTGAGCAGTGGTTTGTAGTTTTCCTTAAAGAGGTCCCTTACATTCCTTGTGAGTTGTATTCCAAGGTATTTTATTCTTTTTGTAGCAATTGTGAATGGCAGTTCGTTCTTGATTTGGCTTTCTTTAAGTCTATTATTGGTGTAGAGGAGGGCTTGTGATTTTTGCACATTGATTTTATATCCTGAGACTTTGCTGAAGTTTCTTATCAGTTTCAGGAGTTTTTGGGCTGAGGCGATGGGGTCTTCTAGGTATACTATCATGTTGTCTGCAAATAGAGACAATTTGGCTTCCTCTTTTTCTATTTGCATACCCTTTATTTCTTTTTCTTGCCTGATTGCTATGGCTAGAACTTCCAGTACTATATTTAATAGGAGTGGTGAAAGAGGGCATCCTTGTCTAGTGCCGGATTTCAAAGGGAATGCTTCCAGTTTTTGCCCATTCAGTATGATATTGGCTGTTGGTTTGTCATAAATAGCTTTTATTACTTTGAGATACATTCCATCGATACCGAGTTTATTGAGGGTTTTTAGCATAAAGGGCTGTTGAATTTTGTCAAATGCCTTCTCTGCGTCAATTGAGATAATCATGTGGTTTTTGTTTATGGTTCTATTTATGTGGTGAATTACGTTGATAGACTTGCATATGTTGAACCAGCCTTGCATCCCCGGGATGAATCCTACTTGATCGTGATGAATAAGTTTGTTGATTTGCTGTTGCAGTCAGCTTGCCAATATTTTTTTGAGGATTTTTGTATCTATGTTCATCATGGATATTGGCCTGAAGTTTTCTTTTCTTGTTGGGTCTCTGCCGGGTTTTGGTATCAGGATGATATTGGTTTCATAGAATGATTTGGGAAGGATTCCTTCTATTTGGATTATTTTGAATAGTTTCAGAAGGAATGGTACCAGCTCCTCTTTGTGTGTCTGGTAGAATTCGGCTGTGAACCCGTCTGGACCTGGGCTTTTTTTTTCTGTGGTAGGCTCTTAATTGCTGCCTCCACTTCTGCCCTTGTTATTGGTCTATTCATAGTTTCAGCTTCCTCTTGGTTTAGGCTTGGGAGGACACAGGAGTCCAGGAATTTATCCATTTCTTCCAGGTTTGCTAGCTTATGTGCGTAGAGTTGTTTGTAATATTCTCTTACGATGGTTTGAATTTCTGTGGAATCTGTGGTGATTTCCCCTTTATCATTTTTTACTGCATCTATTTGGTTGTTCTCTCTTTTCTTTTTAATCAATCTAGCTAGTGGTCTGTCTATTTTGTTGATCTTTTTAAAAAACCAGCTCTTGGATTTATTGATTTTTTGGAGGGTTTTTCGTGTCTCAATCTCCTTCAGTTCAGCTCTGATCCTAGTTATTTCTTGTCTTCTGCTGGGTTTTGAGTTTTTTTGATCTTGCTCCTCTAGCTCTTTCAATTTTGACGATAGGGTGTCAATTTTGGATCTCTCCATTCTTCTCATATGGGCACCTATTGCTATATACTTTCCTCTAGAGACTGCTTTAAATGTGTCCCAGAGGTTCTGGCATGTTGTGTCTTCGTTCTCATTGGTTTCGAAGAACTTCTTTATTTCTGCCTCCATTTCGTTGTTTATCCAGTCAACATTCAAGAGCCAGTTGTTCAGTTTCCATGAAACTGTGCGGTTCTGGGTTGGTTTCTGAATTCTGAGTTCTAACTTGATTGCACTATGGTCTGAGAGGCTGTTTGTTACGATTTCAGTTGTTTTGCATTTGTTGAGCAGTGCTTTACTTCCAATTATGTGGTCAATTTTAGAGTAGGTGTGATGTGGTGCTGAGAAGAATGTATATTCTGTGGATTTGGGGTGGAGAGTTCTGTAGATGTCTATCAGGTTTGCTTGCTCCAGGTCTGAGTTCAAGCCCTGGATATCCTTGTTGATTTTCTGTCTGGTTGATCTGTCTAATATTGACAGTGGGGTGTTAAAGTCTCCCACTATAATTGTGTGGGAGTCTAAGTCTCTTTGTAAGTCGTTAAGAAGTTGCCTTATGTATCTGGGTGCTCCTGCATTGGGTCCATATATGTTCAGGATTGTTAGCTCTTCTTGTTGTATCGATCCTTTTACCATTATGTAATGGCCTTCTTTGTCTCTTTTGATCTTTGTTGCTTTAAAGTCTATTTTATCAGAGATGAGAATTGCAACTCCTGCTTTTTTTTGCTCTCCATTTGCTTGGTAAATCTTCCTCCATCCCTTTATTTTGAGCCTTTGTGTATCCTTGCATGTGAGATGGGTTTCCTGGATACAGCACACTGATGGGTTTTGGATTTTTATCCAATTTGCCAGTCTGTGTCTTTTGATTGGTGCATTTAGTCCATTTACATTTAGGGTTAATACTGTTATGTGTGAATTTGATACTGCTATTTTGATGCTAGCTGGCTGTTTTGCCCGTTAGTTGTAGATTCTTCATTATGTTGATGCTCTTTAGCATTTAGTGTGATTTTGGAATGGCTGGTACTGGTTGTTCCTTTCTATGTGTAGTGCCTCTTTCAGGAGCTCTTGTAAAGCAGGCCTGGTGGTGACAAAATCTCTGAGTACTTGCTTGTTCGCAAAGGATTTTATTTTTCCTTCACTTCTGAAGCTCAGTTTGGCTGGATATGAAATTCTGGGTTGAAAGTTCTTTTCTTTAAGAATGTTGAATATTGGCCCCCACTCTCTTCTGGCTTGTAGTGTTTCTGCCGAGAGATCTGCTGTGAGTCTGATGGGCTTCCCTTTGTGGGTGACCCGACCTTTCTCTCTGGCTGCCCTTAGTATTTTCTCCTTTATGTCAACCTTGTTGAATCTGACGATTTTGTGCCTTGGGGTTGCTCTTCTTGCAGAATATCTTTGTGGTGTTCTCTGTATTTCCTGCAATTGAGTGTTGGCCTGTCTTGCTAGGTGGGGGAAATTTTCCTGGATAATGTCCTGAAGAGTATTTTCCTGCTTGGGTTCATTCTCTTTTTCCCCTTCTGCTACACCTATGAAACGTAGGTTAGGTCTCTTCACATAGTCCCACATTTCTTGGAGACTTTGTTGATTCCTTTTTGCACTTTTTTCTCTGATCTTGGTTTCTCGTTTTATTTCATTGAGTTCATCTTCGACTTCTGAAATTCTTTCTTCTGCTTGGTTAATTCGGCTATTGAAACTTGTGCATGCTTCGTGAAGTTCTCGTATTGTGTTTTTCATCTCCTTTAATTCATTCATATTCCTCTCTAAGTTATCCATTCTTGTTATCATTTCCTCGAATCTTTTTTCAAGGTTCTTAGTTTCTTTGCATTTATTTGAAACTTGTTCTTTTAGCTCACAAAAGTTTCTCATTATCCACCTTCTGAAGTCTAATTCCATCATTTCGTCACAGTCATTCTTTATCCAGCTTTGTTCCCTTGCTGGTGAGGAGTTTTGGTTCTTTCTAGGAGGCGAGGTGTTCTGGTTTCGGGTGCTTTCCTCCTTTTTGCGCTGGTTTCTTCCCATATTTGTGGATTTATCCACCTGTCGTCTGTGTAGTTGCTGACTTTTCTATTGGGTCTCTTCTCTGCGTATCCAGCGAGAGCCTCAATCCTGGGTTGTTCTCACAGCGCCATCTTGAGTCCTCCACGAGAATATATTTCTTTATGTATTTATTACTAGGCTTGGTTAGTAAGTCTTTCTAACTGAGACCCAATTGTCATGATTTATTGTGTTCTATGAAGACCAAAAGTTGGGCCTCCTCTCTAAGTCTTAATTTGCATCATTTAACCAAAGACAATTGATTTATTTATTCAATAGATGTTGAGTACCTTCTCTGTGATAGGCACTGTCCTTTCTCCCTGGTATGCCAGTACTGACCTCGTGGTTTAGTGAAGGAGAGAGCAATTAAATAAGTAAACACACCAATGAAAATATAAGTAAACAATGTGATACAAATGCTGAAGAAAAAAATAAGTCTGTTTTCACCAAGATAATGGCAAAATGGGAAGTAAGAACAACTTTGGAGTGGGTATGCAGGAAAGGTGTTACTGAGGCAATGACCTTCAGCTGAGCTTTGCAGGGATAAGCAGGAATGGTCAGCCAAGAGGTGGATGAGGATTTTAAGTAGCAGGGTAGTATATGTGAAGGCCCTCAGGTGGGACATGTGTATTCAAGGAATGAAAAAAAGGCCAGTATTTTGGGAGCAGCGTACATGGTGGGGAAAGTGGCCTGAGATGGGGTTGGAAAGGATGGAAGGAGTGAGATCATGCAGAAGTTATATTTCCAGTTAAGCAGCTTGTAGTTTGCTATAAATGCATTGAGAGGACATTGTAGGGATTTAATTAGAGATGTGGCCTAATTTGATTTTTGTTTAATAATACCATTAGCGTTATAATGTGAAGAAAGTCTAGAGAAAGAGTGGAAGCTAAGAGAAAAATCAGACGGCTATTGTAGAAAGCCAGGTGATGGTGGCTTCAATGGCAACAAAAAATGGAGAGAAAAAAATAGCTTCAAAATAGATTTTTGGAATTGGAATCTATAGGAATTAATAATGGATTAGTTACAGAGTTTTAAGAGAGTGAAGAGTCAGTGATCTCTGTTGTCTGAATTTATCACCATTCCCTTTATTTAGGTTTGGTCATTTGTAGGGAACTGGAAAAATACACATGATGATTTTATGCTTCTATCTTTTTCACTTAGCATTTTGAAATAAAGTTTTTAACTGATTTTTTTTTTCTTTACTAGGTCCATTATCTTGGCAGAGCAGTTGGAGTAAAATTTTGGGAGCTCCTCCTTGTCATTATTCGATGTCCCTTTTTGATTCTTTCAGCTACCATAGATAATCCAGATCTTCTCACTAAGTAGGCACAGAGTGGTGGTTATATATTCAGTGGTTGAATTACATACTGTCTATATGGTCTGAAGTCTTTAAGGTTTTTTCTATAATATTAAAAATTTCAAATAAATTTATTACCCAATTTTTGAAATGTCAGGGGTCTCACTTTGTTGCCTAAGCTGGCCTTAAACTCCTGAGCTGAAGCAATCAATCCTCCCACCTCAGCCTCTTGAGTACCTGGGATCCCAGGTGCACATTACCATGTTTGGCTTTCTAAAATTTTTTGAAGATACATTTCCTGGAAGTTACAGAAGGCAAACATCTCCAAAGAAAATCAAGGTCTCCCATAAGCAGATCTGAAATCGTGTAGGAAAATTTATAAAAATTTATTTTTTAATTAATTAATTTTATTTTTAAATTATTCATTATAAAATTTTATTTTTTAAATTATTCTTTATAAAATTTTATTTATTTATTTATTTTTGAGACGAAGTCTTGCTTTGTCGCCAGGCTGGAGTGCAGTGGTGCAATCTCGGCTCACTGCAACCTCTGCCTACCAGGTTCAAGTGATTCTCCTGCCTCAGCCTCCTGAGCAGCTGAGACTAAATTTTGTATTTTTGGTTGAGATGGGTTTCACCATGTTGGCCAAGATGGTCTCAATCTCTTGACCTTGTGATCTGCCCACCTTGTCCTCCCAAGGTGCTGGGATTACAGGTGTGAGCCACCACTCCTGGCCAAAATTTTTAAATAAATGTCATCTGAAGTAAGACAGAGAATTGTATCCCCCTTTCTTTGTTTTTATCCAGCAATTAAAGCTAAAATGAGAACAAGTGGGACATAATCATTGACCTTGTTGATGGTGACCATAAGAACAACAAAGCATTATGTGAACATGAAGTATCGTTTTGTGACCAGACTTGATTTTTCCTAGTAGTGGCAACAATGATAGTAACAGCCACACTGATAGCAAACACATAGTGCTTTCGATGTGGCAGGTATATTAACTCATTCAAGCCTTACAACACCCTTATGAGAAAGATACTCTTGTTATCTTCCATGTTATGGTGAAGAAATGGAGGCATAAAGAAGCTGAGGAATTTTCTCAGAGTCCACAGCTGTGAAGTAATGGAGTTGGGACTCAAACTCTGGTGGTTTAGATTGAGAGTGCATGCCTTAAATTTTTAAACTTGAGAAATTTTCTTTGTTTAAATTATTCAAGTTCTTGATAAATGCATCTATATTTTATTTAAGTTATATGCATGTTTATTCTGTAAGGTGGCTGCATTCAGTAAAACAGTACTGGAAATGGGCAGACAAGATTATGCAAGAGAAATTTATTTCTGAGAAAGAGGCTAACGAATGTCTCAACTTTCTCAAAGACCATTCATATAAAAATCAATCATATGAAGTTAGACTTGGTAAGCATATATTTTTTATATTTTACTATAAAGTTTTTTATAGAGATTTTTATATTTTACTGTAAAGTTATCCATATTCTAATAATTATATGTCCATTAATTTGGATATTCTTGCTCTTCATATTTAGTGCTCTGTGGAGAGAGACACAGTGATATAGAGAAGCATATATGTTCAGTAAAACATGATGATGTTTATTTTGATCATTTTCATCCATGTGCTGCACTAACGACAGATATTGTAAGTATAAAAGCATATTAGTGGAATTTTTAGTGCATATCACAACTGGAAAGGGACTGAATTAGTCTTCATAGAATCACAGCATGTATAGATACTCATTTTCTTTTTTTACTGATTCTTTAATTTTATTCATTTTTAAAAATTTAATACATTTTTATTTTTAATTTTTGTGAGCATCTAAAGTAGCTGCATATACTTATGGGGCACATGAGATATTTTGGTACAGACATGCAATGTATAATAATTAGATCGGACTAAATGAGGTATGTATTTATTACCTCAAGCATTTATCCTTTCTTGTATTACAAACAATCCAATTCTACTCTTTTAGTTATTTAAAAATGTACAATAAATCATTGTTGTCTATCACATACTAGATCTTACTTATTCTATTTTTTTTGTGCCCATTTACCATTTCCTTTTCCACCCAACTCATTATCTTCCTAGCCTCTGGTAATGATCATTCTACTCTGTCTCCATGCATTCAATTGTTTTAATGTTTAGCACCCACAGATAAGTGAGAATACCTGAAGTTTTTCTTTCTGTGCCTGGCTTATTTCACTTAAGGTAATGACATCCACCTCCATCTATGTTGTTGCAAATGATGGGATCATATTATTTTTTGTGGTTGAATAGTATTCCACTGTGTATAAGTACCACATTTTCTTTATTCATTCATTTGTTGACAGGCACTTAGGTTGCTTCCAAATCTTGGCTATTGTGAATGGTGCTGCAGTAAACCTGAGAGTGCAGATACCTCCTTGATATACTGATTTCCTTTCTTTTAGGTATATACATAGCAGTTTATTGCTAGATCATAAGATAGCACAATTTTTAGTTTTCTTGAGAAGCCTCTAAACTGTTCTCCATAGTGTTTGTACTAACTTACATTCCCACCAACAGTGTACAAAGGTTCTCTTTTTGCCACATCCTTGCCAGCATTTGTTATTGCCTGTGTTTTGGATGAAAGCCATTTTAACTGAGGTGAGATGATATATTTCATTGCAGTTTTGATTTGCATTTCTCTGATGATCAGTGATGTTGAGCACCTTTTCATGTGCCTGTTTGCCATTGTATATCTTGTTTTGGGAAATGCTATTGAGATCTTTTACCCATTTTTTGAATTGGATTATTAGATTTTTTACCTGTAGAGTTGTTTGAGCTCCTTGTATATTCTGGTTATTAATGCCTTATCAGACGGATAGTTTGCAAATATTTTCTTATATTCTGCAAGGTGTCTCTTTGCTTTGTTGTTTCCTTTGCTGTGCAGAAGGTTTTTAACTTGTTCTGATCTCATCTGTTTGTTTTTTTCTTTGTTTACCTGTGCTCGTGGGATATTACTCAAGAAATCATTGCCCAGATCAATGTCATAGAGAGCTTCTCAAATGTTTTCTTGTAGTAGTTTCATAGTTTGATCTCTTAAGTTTAAGTCTTTAATCCGCTTTGATTTTATTTATGTATATGATGATAGATAGGGGTCTAGTTTCATTCTTCCACATGTGGATATCCAGTTTTCCCAGCACAATATATTGAAGAGATTGTCCTTTCCCTATTGCATGTTCTTGGCATCTTTGTTGAAAATGAGTTCACTATAGAAGTATAAATTTGTTTCTGGGTTCTCTATTCTGTTCCCTTGATCTGTATGTCTGTTTTAATGCCAGTACCTTGCTGTTTTGGTTACTATAGCTCTGTAGTATAATTTGAAGTCAGATAATATCATTTCTCCAGTTTTGTTCTTTTTGCTCAGAATAACTTTGGCTATTCTGGGTCTTTGGTAGTTCCATATAAATTTTAGGATGCTTTTTGTATTTATGTGAAGAATGTCATTGGTATTTTGATAGGGATTGCATTGAATCTATAGATTGCTTTGGATAGTATAGGCGTTTAACAATATTGATTCTTCCAATCCATAAACCTGGAATATCTTTCTGCTTTTTTGGTGTGTGTCCTCTTCAATTTCTTTCATCAGTGTTTTATAGTTTTCTTTTGTAGAGATCTTTTACTCCTTTGGTTAATTTTCAGATTGTTGGCCATTGGCATATGGAAATGCTACTAATTTTGTATATTGATTTTGCATCTTGAAACTTTACTGGATTTATTTCTCAGGTCTAATCATTTTTGGTGGAGTCTTATGTTATTTCAAACATAAGATCATATCATCTCCAAACAAGGATAGTTTGACTTCTTTCTTTTCAATTTGGATGTCCATTTTTTCTCTTGTCTGACTGCTTTAGCTAGGACTTCTAGTACTTTATTAAATAATATTGGTGAAAATGGCCATCCTTGTCATGTTCCAGATCTTAGAAGAAAGGCTTTCAGTTTTTCCCCATTCAGTAAGATACTAGTGGTGGATCTGTTGTATATGGCTTTTATTGTGTTCAGATGTGTTCCCTCTGCTTCCAATTTTTGAGTATTTATCATAAAGTAATGCTGAATTTTATCAAATGACATTTCAGCATTAATTAAAATGTTCGTATTTTGTCTTTCATTATATTGATATGATGTATCACATTGATTGATTTGGGAATGTTGAACCATCCTTGCATCACTGTGATAAATCCCACTTGGTCGTAATAACGTATCATTTTAATATGTTGTTGAACTCAATGTCCTAGTATTTTGTTGAGGATTTTGTATTAATATTCATCAGGGATATTGGCTTGTAATTTTCTTTTTTTGATGTATCTTTGCCTGGTTTTGGTATCAGGGTAATACTGGCTTTGTAGAATGAGTTTGAAAGTATTCCCTCTTTTTTTTCAGAATAGTTTAATTCTTTTTTAAAGAGAATGAACTAGCTAACTAATAGAGTACTGTTGGTATTACTTCTCCTTAAAGAAGAGAGGAATTAGTTCTCTAAAAAGAAGTAATTTCAAAACTACTCAGACTATTCTGTAAAATAGAGGAGGAGGGAACACTTCTCGCTTTTGGTAGAATTCAGCAGTGAAGTTATTGGGTCCTAGGCTTTTCTTTGCTGGGAGACTTTATTACGGCTTTAATCTCATTACATGTTTTTGGTCTGTTCAGCATTTGGATTTCTTTATAGTTCAGTTTTGGTAGGTTGTGTCTAGGAGTTTATCCATTTATTCTAGGTTTTCAGATTTACTGGCATATAGTTGCTTATAGCAGCCTCTAATGATCCTTTGAATATCTGTGGTATCAGTTGTAATGTCTCCTTTTCCATCTCTGATTTTATTCATTTGGGTATTTTCTCTTTTTTTTCTAAGTCTGGTTAAAGGTTTGTTTATTTATTTATCTTAAAAAAAACCCAGCTTTTTATTTTATTGATTGTTTGTATTGTTTCCTGTTTCAGTTTCATTTATTTCTGCTCTGATCTTTATAATTTATTTTATTGATTTTGGGTTTGGTTTGTTCTTGCTTTTCCTGTTCTTTAAGATACATAATTAGGTTGTTTATTGAAGTTTTTCTGCTTGTGTCTATAAACTTTCCTTTTATTACTGCATTTGCTGTATCCCATAGGTTTTGGTATATTGTGTTTTTATTGTCATTTGAGAAATTTTTAAATTTCTTTCTCAGTTTCTTCATTGACCACCTAATTATTCAGGAGGATATGGTTTAATTTCCACATATTTGTATAGTTTCCAAAATTTCACTTGCTATTGATTTCTGGTTTTATTCCATTATGGCCAGAGAAAATGCTTGATATTATTTCCATTTTTCTTGAATGTTTTAAGACTTGTTTCATGACCTAACATATGGCCTATTCTTGAAAATGATCCATGTGCTTAGGAAAAGAATGTGTATTCTGCAGCCATTAGATGAAATGTTCTATAGATATCTATTAGGTCCATTTGGTATATAGTGCAGATTAAGTCTGATTTTTTTTGTTGATTTTCTATCTGGATGGTTTGTCCAATGCTGGAAGTGGGGTGTTGAAGTCTGCAGCTGCTATTGTATTGGGGTCTATCTCTTGCTTTAGCTCTATTTAAAAATATCTATTTTAAAGATAAATTTGCCTTATATATCTGGATGCTCCAGTTCTGGATGAATATATATTTATAATTGTTATATCTTGCCATTGAATTGATCCCCTTATCATCATTTAATGAGCTTCTTTGTCTCTTTCCATAGTTTTGTTTTGAAATCTATTTGGTCTAAATATAGCTATGCCTGCTCTGTTTTGGTTTCCATTTGCATGGAATATTTTTTTCATCTGTTTATTTTCAGTCCATGTGTATCTTTATATCTGAAGTATATTTCTTATAGGCAAGAAATCATTGAGTCTTTTTAAAAAAATCCATTAAGCCACTGTATGTCTTTTGATTGGAGAATTTAGTTTATTTACATTCAATGTTATTACTGATAAATAAGAACTTACCTGACATTTTGTTATTTGTTTTTTTTTTAGTTGATTTTTTTTGTTGTCTTCTCTTTCTTCTCTCTTTTCTTCCTGTTTTCCTTTTAGTGAAGGTGATTTTCTCTGTTGGTATGTTTTAATTTCTTGCTTTTTATTTTTTGTGTATCTGTTTTATGTTTCTTGATATGAGTTTACCATGAAGCTTGCAAATATTACATTATAACTAATTATTCCCAACTGAGGACAATTGAACACTGATTACATGTACAAACAAACAAACAGCAAAAAGGAAACTAATAAAAACTGTATACTTTATCCCCTCACCCCCAATGCATTTAAACTTTTTGTTGTTTCTATTTATATCTAATGTTATTGTCTGTCTTGAAAAGTTGCTCTGGTTGTAATTTGTGATAGGTTCACTGTTTAGTCTTTCCACTGAAGATATACTCATATGTTCCATACTGCAATTACAGTGTTACAATATTCTGTGTTCATCTGTGTATTTACTATTACTAATGAGTTTTGTACCTTCAAGATGATTTCTTATTGCTCATTAACAGGCTTTTCTTTAACATTGAAGGACTTTAGCACTTCTTGTAAGACAGGTGTTGCTGAAATCCCTTAGCTTTTGTCTAAGGAAGCCTTTATTTCTCCTTCATGTTTGAAGGATATTTTCTTTCTTATT